TAACTTACATTCAATTAATTATCTAAATTCAGCTTAACCTTCTCTAACCCTGCTCCTAATCCTAACCCTAACTTAAACTCAACCCAAAAACTAAACCAAACCCTTGTTCAAAACCAATTCCTGGTCCAAATCTTAACTAGGGCTGTGAACATGTTAACGCTCACAATTAATCTGGAAACCTCAACGTGTTATTTTTTTTAACGCAAATTAATCATACTACCAAGTTTGACCCAAATTTCCTCCCGTAATTCCCACATGGATTTACTGAAAGGTGCAAACATAGATAACATGATGACTGAGGAAACGTCCCCTGGTGTGCTGAACACAAAGTTTCGTTTTTAAAAGCTTCCAGGTGGAAGTTTAGATAAAACTAAACTTCCATCTGGAACCGGATGGAAGGTCACCACTATAGGAACAGATAGCGCTCACAATTTGATCGCGGCAGCAAGGAATCTGCCATCTGAGCATATGTCCTGTTCAGCGCACATTATACAGAGGGTAATCACAGTGGCTTTCCATAACAAAGAGTTTGTCTATGTTTTAGCCAAGTGCTGTAAAATAGTTGGACATTTCAAACACAGTCCGGCGAACACAGCAGAGCTGAAAGTTCAGCAAGCCTCTCATGGTCAAGAGGAAACACTCATCCAGGATGTACCTAAAGGCTGGAATTCAATTCTCGAAATGATAAAGTGGGTCCAACACAACAAAGACACACTGAAGGCAACGCTGGCACAGCAGAAGCACCTTTTCACTGCCATACAAATCATGAATTCTTTTATTTGTTTTATCTCTCCCAAAAATACAAGTACATACTGTTTAAACTTCACAATTAACCATGATTAATCAACCTATTATTGTGATTAATTTGATTAATTTTTTTAATCAATTGACACCACTAATCTTAACCCTAACACTGTTGAAAATCAATTGAGTTTCACAAGACAATTTCTTAACAATTTGAAAGTCTGTAGATAATCTACAGGAGGCTATTCAAATAAAGAGACCATAACCGTCAGCTGCTGACCCACAGAGCCTGTTTACACCTTGCATTCTCAAGATCATATGTGGATATACTTTGGTTGGGTTTCATTTATATTTTCACTAAAATGCATTCCGTTTGACCATATAAGATCTGATTTTACTTTTCCCACGTAAAAAGCACATCAACACGCTTTACTTTTGTTTATATATTTTTTTTTCCCTGTTGCGATATCATAGTCGACAAGTTTGGCTTGGATGCTTTCATCAGCTGAGAGAGTAAAAAGCCTCTTGATTTAGGGAAATCACCAGGCTTGAGTATCGTCCATCTTTTGTTTCGTTGTTTATCCCTTCATCCTACTAGTCAGCACTTGGCAGAGCTTTTCCATTCACGTAATTGTATATGGATTACAAAAACGCATTCCATTTACAGTTCTATTAAACTCGTTTGAGGTCGGTCTCTGACCACGTCCAAATGTAGTTTGAGTGATCTGATTATACAATGCGTACGGGGGTGTACATCTAGATTTTCATGTGGTCAAGTGATCCGAACTTGATCCAACTACTGAAATTGCATGTTGATGCAAGATGTAAACAGCCCCATGCAGTCAATTAGTCATAGAAGAAAGTGGTTACTGGAAAAAGTTAGTGCACAAAACCTAACAAAAAGGGTTTCATAATGTTCTGTAATGTTTATATTATGTATGTGGGCATTCTGACATGGAAGTCAGAGGAAATGGCAAAAGGTGCAAGTGTTAATCAATCATGTAATATTTCATGGATTAACAGATTATAGAAATTTTATCATTGATTCTCTAATTCACATACATAATGATCCAGTCTTATCTCCACCCCCTTTACTTGCTCTTTACCCCCTTTTCCCTCTCTTGTAAGCCCCCAACTTTATCCACAGAAACAGACACTCCATCACTAAGAGAGCAGGCAGAGAGAAGGATGAACATACTGAAACCTCCAGCTGTGGAGATACACTAACATCTGAAAGTTGTCCAAGTTGTGCTGTAGTGGGGAGGGGGAGGTAGGGCAGGTAAGCACACTGACCACCACACCACTGCCATGGGGCATCTACAGGCCTTTGGCTCAATGTATCCACAAGACATTCATAAGACATTTCGCTATCAATCACTGGGGCAAGATCACTGATAGCCGACCATTTGCAGTCTTGGGTTATTCAAAGGTTACTCTAACTACAGATTGGTGTGGTTAAAATATTGAATATCCAAACTCCTCTCAACTTACTGAAATGCATATTTGAACAAGCCAGGGCATCATTTTTAAAACATGTATTATCTAGGACATGCACAGTTACCACCTTGATAACACACTGACACATTAATAGCAAATTTATACATTGTTAACGCCACTTTTTTAAAATGCAGTTAACGCATTTTCCTAGTTTTACCTTTTGAAACATCTGTAGTAGTGCAGGCTGAAGCCCAGTTGTATGGACACTGTATGTTGCTATGACAGAAGTCATGACTACAGCCCTCTTGTTTAAAAAGCTTTTAAACTGATGATACTACCACCTTCGGCAGACTACACTGAACAGTGCTTGCAGGAGAGCTTTGGATAAATGAACAAGCAGTAAACTAACTAAAGCAAAAGCAAAGCAGAAAACAACAGTTCCCCTTGAGATTTTCCACTGTAACAAGAACCCACAAGCTGTATAAATGAGGTAGGCTGCATTTCTCGGCCACTACGTGATAGCAGTCCGTTCCAAAGTGAAGAACCTTCGTATACAGCCTAGACATGCAGCCTACATTCTAAGTGATTTCAAGGGCACATCAGATGTATCCTTCCAAGCCTTCAGTTACCCACAGTTCTCTGTGCACAAACGACATGAAAGACGTCTTTTTGGCCAAACCAATGCAGTGCAATGGATCTTTTGTTCTGATTCCGCCCCCTGACTGTGACTGGTCCACTGCACAAAGAGTTTGCTTTAAGTATACTTATGACAGAATGCTTGATGGTAGTTTGGTTTTGTTTAGTTCTTGTGTTGTTTAAAGAACTGCCAGCTTAAGTGAACTAGTGACATTTAAGCAGAGCTACAAATGGAAATATTTCAAGCCAAAAGATGACAAATTTAACAGTGTAAGTCAGTGCAACCTCAGGTGACTGCACTGTAAGTCAACCAGTAGATAGGAGATAATTTGCATACACCTACAATGAAAAGATAAATCAACGAATAAACTTAACAGTCAGGCATAGATCACCTTTTATGCTACCTACACACAGTCAACGAATGTCATACCCTGTGTTTTCATTTTTTATTCATAACAATATAAAAACTGTTGTTGGATATTCAAATCATATTCATTAAAAATGTGGACATTTAAAAAGCAAAACTTGTTAAAATGCTTAAGGCTAATTACACCATTTCTTTGGTACAGGCAAAACAAACCAGACCAGGTTATCTAAAAGAGTGTGAGCTGTAAGTAACTAACTACGAGCCAACCATACAGTCTCCTTCACACTTAGCAAAAGTGCTTGACACACAAGTCAGGTTCCATTTGCAACTTGGCTCTAGAAATGGCAAACTCTTCAATATGTCCTTTGAGGAAGCTCAAAGAGTATCTGATTTTAAATCCAACTCCAAAACTTCTTTTGGTGCTCCCCAATGGAGGAGCACTTTCTACTGCTCTCTTTGAGCGGAGGGCGCATGCTGGGAATTCGTCATAAAGAGAGAAAAAAGACAAAACTCACATACACAGCTGGAAACAGACGAAAAGGTCACACAAGATACAACTGTGATCCTCAATACACACACACACACACACACACACACACACACACACACACACAAACACAGACACATTCCCAAAAGGCATTTCTTCATGCCGACAACATATTCATTTACAAAGGAGGAACATGGAGGGACATGACAGGATGCAGGTCCAGAGTATGTACATAGAGAGTGACACAGACAACAGACAGAAAGAAAAAGAGAGAGAGAGTGAGAGAGAGCGTGTGAGTCACTGAGTCACTGTGTGAGTGAGAGAGAGAGAGAGAGAGAGAGAGAGAAAGAGAGAGAGAGTGAGAGAGAGTGTGTGAGTCACTGAGTCACTGTGTGAGTGAGAGAGAGAGAGAGAAAGAGAGAGAAAGGCAGACAGAAAGAAAGAAAAAGAGAGGCAATAGTGTGAAAGAGGGCAATGGAAAGTAAGAGGAAGAAAAAGAGAGAGGGGAGAGAGAGAGAGAGAGAGTCACTGAGTCACTGTGTGAGTGAGAGAGAGAGAGAAAGAGAGAGAAAGACAGACAGACAGAGAGAGGCAACAGTGTAAAAGAGGGCAATGGAAAGTAAGAGGAATAAAAAACAGAGAGGGGGAGAGAGAGAGAGAGAGAGAGAGAGAGAGACAGTAATATGTGTGAGAAAGAGTGATAGAAAGTGAAAGAGAATAAAACAGAATGATAGAAAACTGAAAAGTGAGGGAGAGAGAGAATGAGAGAGAGGGAGACAGAGAATGAAAGAGGTGAGGCAGAGTAAGACAGAATGAAAGAGAAATATAGTAAGTGTGAAAGGGAGATTGAAAGGGAAAGTCCAAGAATGAGAGGCTGAAAAGAAAGACGGAGTGAGAGAAAAAGATAGAAGGACAGAGAGCATGGAAAAGAGAGAGACAGTAGTAAGTGTGAGAGAGAGTGATAGAAAGTAAAAGAGGTGAGGGAGAGTAGGACATAATGGCAGAGAGATATAGTAAGAGAGAGAGAGTAAGAGAGAGAATGAAAGACAGATTGAAAAGGGAGAGTCAAAGAAAGAGACAGAGTTAGAGAGAAAGAGAGAGAAAGAGAAAGAGAAGGAAAGAGCGTGATGGAAAGTAAGAGGGGAAGACATCAAGAAAGAGAGAGAGAGTGAAATACAGAGAGAGAGAGCAAGAGAGAGAACAAACAAGAGAAAAGAAAAAGAGAGAGAGTAAAAGAGAAAGAGAGAATGGGTGTGATAGAGAGACAGAGGGAGAGAGAGTGAAAGAGAGAGACATTCACTCTCCACACACATCATCCTCTGCTGTTACCTGTTAGCGAGCAGCACTCTGAAGGTCACCTGACTCAGTCTCTGATTGGACGGCAGCAGTTGGGCCCAGTCCCACTCCCTCTCACTCAAAGCTGACTGTTGACAAACGAGCATTGAGTATTGTTATTATTAATCAGCGTTAATACGATCAGAAAATTACTGCTCCAGCTGGGCCGGACTAACTAAGAAGGAGGGGGTCCCGGATGAGACCCCCCCGACAGAATCTATCTATCATGTCTGCACAAGAAGGTTTTTATTCCAATAAGACAGCAATTAATTTATAAATCCATTTGGGGAGGGATGTAGCCATCATTTATAAAAAGATAAATCAATTTTGCGAGAGGAGTCGTTATTCTTCTAGCTGTTGTTCATGGCAAGCTGCCCGGTGCTTTCGTTCTTTTTTCCCTCCGTTTTCCCAGCAAGCATGGGTAGATTGGCCCTTTGTTAGGAGGCAAATAAAAATCCGATTGCTTTGATTGCCAAAATGTCACTCTTAACTTCAGGCAGAGTTTTTATCGACGAAAGGAGAAGAACGCTACGGCCCCTCCTCCTCCCCTCCTCGGCTGATTGATGGATCGTCATTTGTTTTTTTTTTCTCCCTTCTTCTTCTCCTTCTTCTTCTCTCCATTTGATTTGACAAACAGCACAGCCACCTGAAGCCGGGAAGGCTTTTTAATCATCCTCTTAATAGGGTGCTTTATGCAAAGCAATGCAAACGCTTGTGATAAGCAGAAAAGGATTACGAGTGCTCGAGCTAGCGCAGAACAATAGCTGAAGTATTAGCCTTTAGGCTTAGGAAACGCACAAAAAACCTCAGCGCAGACAAAAAGAGAATGAAAGCGTCAAGTTCTTCTCCTATAGATGTCTTTCACTTATTGACCTTCAAGGCAACGTCTCATGACACAAGTGCAGAAATCTCCCGCCTTCAATCCAAAGCCCAAAGAAGTTCAAGGAGACAAAGATATCTCGTAATTAAACCTTCAATATATGACGTCTTCCACGCACCACGGGGGACGTGGGTTTGTTATTTTTTTATTTATTTAATTCACAGCCATATCGTACTTGATGAGTTCACCTTTTCAAGCATTTTCAAAAGTTTCTCCTCTCTTTGCTTTTTGTTTTAACCTCTTTTTTTTCTCCAGCGTTTCAGCTTTGTCTCCCCTTCACACTTAAAATATTGCTGTGGGACCAGGCGACCTATGGAGAATTGGGGGAGTTCATCCCAGAAAAGCACTTTAAAGCCTCTCGGTTCCTCTCCGTCGTTCACCTTGCCAGCTCCGCTCTGGTGGCCTTGACGAAAAGCTACACACGCTCGCTCGAGCAGAAAGAAAAAAAAAAGAAGCAAGAAATAGTTCATGGCATAAATGAACTGCTTTAAATAAAAGTTGAAGTCAATGACACACCAGACAAATGACATGTATTTAAAGAGTCAAGAGGGGGAAAAAAGTCTCTGCATGATGTGAACTGTAGGAAGACGGTGAGATATACACTGTATGTCCAAAAGTATCCAGACCTACTTTCAGGTGCACCAATTACAGACACAGGTGCTAGCAGAATGGGACGCTCATTATAACCATTGGTTCAACTGATTTACCCCATTTCTGTATTTTATTGTTTTGTACTAACATTGTTTGCTATCCAGTGCTGACCAGAGGAGGATGGGTTGAGAGTTGTTTCCTCTCAAGATTTCTTCCTCTTGCTCTTAGGGAGTTTTTCCTTGCCACTGTTGCCATTGACTTACTCATAGGGGCTTGGACCCGGATTTTTCTGTAAAACTGCTTTGTGACAGCACTTGTTGTAAAAAATAAACTTTGACTTGACTTGCCTCAACTCTGGAGCAGCCACACATGAGCCGAAGGTCACCATGTCTTTATGCCTAGAGGGGCATAAAGCCGGCTAGCGCTGGGCTGTGGGGTAGTGGGGCTGTGTTCTCTGCACAGTAAAAAATGAGTCAGCTCAACATAAAATTATAAATTGACTGATTACACAGCTTTTCTTGAGTTAACTTAAGTACACTAGAGTTCACTCAACTTAAACTTCTTAGTTTAGTCAAAAGTTCTCATAACTCTCATTTACTTTAGTTGTGCATCCCAGTCAGGTAAACAACGGAGAATGCATGTTTTTTACTCAATCCCCCATTAGCTAGGACTCTTTCCATCAGGCACAAGGCATTTTTCCTCTCCCAGTCATATACTACTATGGCTTCGTTGGGGTTCAAACTCACAACCTCCTGGTGGGATAAATGTTTAGTCTGTTGCACCACTTGCACATTTTTGAAATTACTCAGATTCCTGTGTCCTTAAATGTAACTTGTGTAGTAACTTGTAGTGCAATGGTCTAAGAACTCATCCCAACATGAGGACAATGTGAGTTTGACATCTCACACTTGTCTATACTAGAAGCCAAAGAGGAGAACATGGCTGGTGTGTCTATTGTGCGATAGAAAGAGCAAAAACAAAATCTTTATTGTTTACTTAACTGAAAAAGCATAATTTAAGAAGAACCTCTGACTAAACTAAGAAGTTTGGATAAAATCTGGTGCTCTTGAGTTGAGGTAACTCAAGAACAGCAGTGTAATCAGTTACCTTATCATTTTAAGTCGAGCTAACTTCTCATGTCTTTCAGTTTGGAGCGAAGGGGCTACATCCAGCACCTCTGGAATGAGTTGAAGTTTGAGATCCAGAACTAATCACCCAACATCAGTACCTGACCGCACTAATGCTTTTGTGGCTAAATGCTCAACCATCTCACACTGCATTCGCGTTAGCAGGTGGCAGAGCAAACAGTAGTTTCCTATGGATGTAGGCAAATTATAACAGCAATTTATCAACAACAAGATCTAGTTGAGATTTTTTCTTTTGTTCAACTTTATGGCTCCAAAAATTCCAATAGTAGGCACAGTGCTTTGAGGTCCCCAGCTTTAAGTCTCTGAACTTTGTTCCCACCAGTATTTTGTTCTTATTCCCAATGGTTTCACTCAAAAAATGGAAGAGAGACTTATAAAATTGTAAATTTAAAATCATGGTTTACATTTTAAACTGAGTAACAGCAAGTGCACAGTCGTATGAAAAACCTTGTGCGTCCTTGGTCAAATGACAAGTTTTGCTGATTTTCTAAGTGAACATAATGCAAACTTACTGCGTATTTGCTGAATTTAACATATATGAAAATGCATACATAATGTGACCTGTGGAAAAGTTCACGTTAGCATCCAGATGCCTCCGATTGTGAACTCAAAAGGAGTAAGTAATGAGTAAGAAGCATCAGCCCTGATGTCACTATTTCTCCTTGCTTTCAGAAGAAATGTAGGATGAGCAGAAGACTGTGAGTCTTTTGGACACCAACCTGATCAAACTTAGCATGGCCAATGTGGTCGAAGTAATACAGCGGGTTGAAAGGACGTGGTAGACCACTTTGTGAGCTGACCGCTGAGGAGAACTGAACTGAAGAAAGCCCTTCGGGAAATGATGTACTGGGGTCTTCAGCAGAGGCTAACTTAGATCTTAACAAACCCTGCAAAAGACAGAGGGGGGACGAGGTGAGGAAGAGAGAGAGAAACAGAGAGAGACAAAGAGAGCGACAGACAGAGTCAGACAGAGATAGAGCAAGAGAGAGAGAGACAAACAAAGAGACACAGAGAGAGAGAGACAGAGACAGAGCAAGAGAGAGAGACAAACAGTGACACAGATAGAGACAGAGAGAGAGATGGAGAAAGAGGGAAACAGAGAGACACAGAGAAAGAGGTAGAGAAAGACAGCGAGAGAGAGATTAAGACAGAGACAGAGAAAGAGACAGACGGAGAGACAGACAGAATGAAAGAGACAGAGACAGAGACAGACAGAATGAGAGAGAGATAGAGACAGAGACAGAGAGGGAGAAAGAGAGAGACAGACAGAGAGAGAGAGTAAAAATAACTCTCCTCTTTAAAAAAAATCATAGCTGTAAAGTTTGGATGGTGGGAAGGACAAAGATATCAAAGTTCACCCAAACCTGGATTAGTCTAGACATACATTATTATTAGACTACATTTGAAAACTACCCATTAAACGGTAAAATTAAACAGGAATCTCTATAGGCCTATTGAACACACCAGTGGACAAATGAGTACATCTCTACAATTATTACATATCCAATTTTGGACATAATGGACATTTCTTTTCTCTCTATTCCCTAAGTAATTGGCCTGACAATGGTAGAAATTAATCAGTCTATCTAGAATAGGATTTGGAAACAGGACATTTGAAGAGGACAGAGATATGTATAGATGTGACACAAAGAAACACGTCACTCAAGAACTGAAATAAAACTTTAGCGAATCCTGTTTCTGAACCAGTGCACCATTCACAAAGATGTACTGCCTGCTCAGATACCATGAAGAGAAGGATTTGGAGTGCTGTTTTTAGGCTGGGGGGACCTCAAAACTGTGCTTATTCTCAACAATGTCTAATCTATGAGACATCTGTAGGATGCTTTAGGAGATTTAGTATTCTCAGAGGTGTCTGAGGCTGTAGTAATTGAGCCACATAGGAAAGATGTTCATTTATGGAACACAATTTCCTGGAACACCAATAGTAATTTGCAATCTCTTTTCATTAATAATATGATGCCAAATTATTTTCAATGAAGGTAATCAAGAATGAGAGCTCTGCACACTGCCTGTATATTGGAGCTGTTATAAGAAAAAGAGGAAAGAAATCATTCATGTACACTACCATTCAAAAACTTGAAATCATGTGGATGGCGGTATGGTAAACCCCCTGTTTTAATCCACCTGATATAACTTATCAGCTAATAAGAAAGCCTCTCCTTGGGTGAAACAGGTGGGTTGGAATGGGGACACCACTAGAAAAGAAAGAGTAGGGGGTTCTCCTGGACCAGAGTTGAGTCTATTTTTGCCTCCTGAGCTTGTGCTTTTGTCCAGAAACAAGCCTTCTATTGCAGGCCGCTCAGTTCGCCCGGGGCGCTCCGCCACCCTAATTGCTTGGTGAAAAACGGCGCAGGCCCACCTCATTGAGCTGGATGGTGTGATGGATCTGCCGCAGGTTCTGGATGCCACCTGCTCCCTGGCACAGCGCCAACGATTCCGGCCACATTTTCTGCTCAGGCGGTTCCACGGGCCCACCTCTCTCCTGCACTACACCACTCTCCACCCGCTCAAACACACTGATGGGGTGAGAGAGAGAGAGAGAGAGAGAGAGAGAGAGAGAGAGAGAGAGAGAAAGAGAGAGGGAGAGAGAGTGACTACGATCCATGTTCCCTACTTATACAGTATGAGGAATACGTCCCAACAAATAGCTATCAGATGGGTATTGCAAGGACAATTTAACAGTGTAACCAAGGCTGAAATGTTTGCATGTTGCCTGTGACTAAAGCAACACTTTTTCGCATCTTCTATCGTGACACTTCTCTGTTGACAGCATTTAGAGAAAAGATGGGAATTCAGCACTAAAGGTTAGCATAAACCTCAAGGTCTAATGCTAGTTTTCAGTGTCATGCAAATGTCTCAGCACATGTCAAGCGAAAAAAAAACATTCCTCCTGGCACAGTTGCTGTCATTGTTCTTCTTCTTCTTCTTTTTTTTGGGAAACATTTATGAAAAAGATGGCAAAAGGAAGAAAGTAACAGGTAAAAAAAATAATAAAAAGATGCAAGAAAAGCTAGCCGAAGTCTGCGTTAAAGGTTTACCGGGCTAGCACCATAAACCTCAAGTTCCAGCAATGGTTTTCACCATCTTACAAGTGTCTCAGCACGCATCAAGCCAAAAAAAATTGATACCTTTTATTTTGGCACAGCTGCTGTCATTGTTTTCCCCCCTCCCCTTCTCCGTCTTTGAGTAGTTTTTTTTAACATTTACAAAAAAGATGGGTACAGAGAGAAAGCAGAAGGCCAAGAAGGAGGAAACAAAGCTAGCTAGCATGTGTGACAAAGGCTTAACGAGCTAGCACCAAAAACCTCAAGGTCTAATGCTAGCTTTCAGTTTCACGCTAGTGGACATCTTCTTCCTGGCACACCTGCTGACATTGTTTTTTATTTTTTCTTTGTTATTTTATAATTACAAAAAAGATGGAAACAGAAACAGAAAGGGAGGCTGAAAAAAAGCTAGCAAGAAAGAGTGACAATTGGCTAACACCATAAACCTCGAAGTAGCTTTCAGCCTCATGCAAGTGTTTCACCACACTTTTTCTCAGCACGCCTGCTCTCAATGTTTTTGATATCTTTTCTCCCACCCCTGCACGCTTTTTCTGTGTTTTCTTCATATTTTAACATCTACACAAAAGACATAAGATAGAAAAGAGAGAAAGCGAGGGTCCAAAAAAGAACCCAAGGAGCTAGGTAGCATTTACAAGAAAGGGTTAGCGAGCTAGTATAAATCTAAGTTCGAATGATAACATTCAGTTTTATGCAAGGGTGTCAGTGCTTATCAAAGAAAAAATAGATTTCTTTTATATTTAAGAAAAATAGGCAAAAAAGCTACCAACAACATGCAAAAAGGGTTATAAGGTTAGCATCATAATCTTCAAGATCTAATGTTTCATGTGCATGCCTACCCAAAAAAATGGACACCTTGCTTCTTAATTTTTGTTTAATTTTTCCTTTTTTTAATTATATTATTTTTACGTTATAGTTCATTTATAGAAAAACAGTGACAGAGACAAAGTAGGAGGCAAAAAAGGAGGCAAAACAGTTTGCAAGAGTGATATAAGAGCAATATAAGCCTCAAGGTCAAGTGGCAGCTTCCAGTTTCATGCAAGTGTCTCATTGCACATTAATATCTCAGTCAAGCTAAAAAATTGACCCTTCCTGGCACAACTGATATCTTTTCCCCCATTCTCTGTCCTCCTTTTGAGAAACATTGAAGAAAAATAGGCAAAAAAGCTAGTTAGCCTGTGCTACTAAGGGTTAGTAGGTTAGCACCATAAAGCAAAGGTCTAATGCTAGCTTTCAGTTTCATGCAAGTGTCTTGGCACACGTCAAGCAAAAAAAAATGGACACCTTCCTCCTGGCACACCTGCTGTCATTGTTTTTTTTCCCTTCTCCATCTTGCAATCAGGCAGCGACATGGCGGGTGGCGGCTGTCATGCAGCCGTTAGCGGTGGTGACATTGAGAGAAGCTTGCACGGGCCCTGAGCAGGCCGGGGCGCTGAGCATTGGTGTCAGCACCTGGGCCCCGCGTATCCTTCCCTGTCCATCAGTGTGCAGGTGAAGCAAATGATTGGATCCAGTCAGCGGCTTGATTAATGAGAGGAGCGGTGGATCCGGGACAAGCTATCAATCACGTCATTAGGGCCAATGTGCCCTGAAAGAGGCAGAACACCCCCCTCCGCCGGCGCAATCCACTGCATTCATCTTCATCTGTGTATGCATGCCGTCAAGCCCTGCCAGGGTCACCATGATGGAGAGCAATCATCTTCTCCTCTACAAATTACTTTGCAAAGACAAGAGACTACAGAGGTGTGTGTGTGCGCTTCTGAGTGTGTGTGTTGACAAGAAAAAGGGGGAGGTTTTTAGGGACCCCGCTCACTGCCGCTGCACTGTACGTTGATTGTTTACAACACAAGCAGTGCTGGAAAGTGAAGGTTATTTTAATGAATAGTAATGGATCTACTGACTGACTGAGACAGGTGATACATAATCACTCTTCGCATTTTCTTTTTTTTTTCCCATCATCCGCCCTTTTGCCCTCTCCCTTTCTTCTCCTGTCTTTCCTGTCATTTATGGAACAACATTTCCTGGAACACTAGCAGTAATTTACCTTTTATTTTTCCATATTTGGTATGATGTTAAATCATTTTCAATAAAGCTAATTAAGAAATTGCTTTGACAAAGCTTGCACATGCTCAAAAGCTCCAGGTTTGCCGAAACAGCAGTAGGGATGGGGCAAGTGATGTCACTTCTCCAAAAACATCAAGCTTGTCTTCTCTGAAATGATGGCAACAGGGTCATCGTTCACGATAAACACAACATGAAATTCAAATAAGATTCAAGTGCAATTTTCCAAACCGTAGACCGCTCATTGATTAAATGACTGAACTTTTGAAGTCGGAGCAAAAGTCAAGATCCCACTCTGGTAAATGGAATTAAACATGAACATGTTAGTGAATATATTTATGTGTTGTCAAAATGGAATCCCTCGAGATGAATTTTCAAATTGCTGAATTTACAATCATTCTTTTACTGTTATGGAGTGAAAAAAAATATAATAGTACAAAATGTTCAGTTCCTAAATTGTTAGACTATTAAAAATAAAAGTTTAGAAATGGTTCCCTGTTTGAATATATGTTTCTAGGAAAAATCTTTATTTGGTACAGAACCTTTACATCATATGGAGGTTCTTTAAACCTCAAAAAGGTTCTTAACGCTCACACATTGCATTAACAAAACAAAACAAAAATGGTAACTATAACACTAGGTAGCCAATCAGTTGCATTAACAGTTCAGCTATCTGACAATGAGTACAAAATCCAGGACTGGATACTGGATTCAAGGTTTGAAGAGCCCTAGTATAGAACATTTACATTATTTTAAGGTTGTTTAAACTTCAAAAAAGTCCTTCAAACTCACACATCTCATTTACAAAAATGCTTCTTTAAAGATCCATCCATGGATCCATCCGTTCTGGAGACGATTTAAATTTCAAGAAGGTTCTTCACACTCACATATCTAATTTACAAAAACGGCTCTTAAAAGAATCCTCCATAGAAAGATTGTTTAGGATATCAAATGCGTTTCTTTTTTTCAAATACCTCCAAAGAACTATTGGACTGGCAATTTTTAGGACTCACCTCTCACTACAGAGCTTGCGTGCTTTCTGCAGCTGCATGGAGCTCCACTTGGGCCTCTTCTCCTCCAGTCCCTGCAGGACCTTGTGGACAGTGGGCTTGGGGACCCCCTTCTGCTGGCCCAAGCTAACCTGCAGGCACTCGGACAGCAGGGCCAGCCGTTCTTTGGCCCCTCGCTCCAGGGGCTGAGCAGACACCAGCTCCAGGGTCTCTCCATCCTCCAGGCCCTGGCACACACAGCCCAGCAGAGTCCAGACCAGCAGGCCTGTGGGCCTCAGCTGCCTGGCATGCTGGGACAGATGCTTCTCAGCCACGCAGAAGAGAAAGCGAACGGGCAGCGGCAGTGAAGCCACAGCCGAAGGGAGGTGTGTGAAGATGAAGGACAGAGCCTGGATGGCCAGAGTGATGTTGCCTATAGAGATGGAGAAAAGTGGACCACGTTCAAGGCCATCACAGTATAATTCTGCAGAGGATGTTGTAGAGGAATGTTTTGTTTCCAAATGGCAAAGTATTTTTACAGCTTCATAGCCTCATTTGCTAGCTTCTCTCCATATACTACATACAATGGATTAACACCCCCAGTGGCGATTAATTCATATTTTAATATTTTATATCATATTTTATCACATTCTTTTATGGTATTATTTTCATTCTTGTCTTTGCTGTTAATTGTCAGGGTTTGCAGCCCCAGTAAAATCACTGTTAATGTTGTCAGTTCATTCATTCTTGACTTTTTCATGTATGCTAGCCATCAACTGAAAGTGGCTAATAGCAACTTGCGCAAAGCCATTCTGATACATGACCATGTATGTTTAATATCACACAGTTATTTGATGAACATTTCGATAACAGTTAAAAAAAGTATAAAATAATTCATTTAAAAATAATTATATCAAAATTACTATCATCATTGCTCACCGCTGCATTGTTGTACCACGTGTCTCGGCACCAGTCCATGGCCCAGTGGTTTTTACATGCATTTTTTTTCTGTATAAGTCTCTTTAAATGATTCTTTGTTTCTTTTTCCAACCAAGTATGTTCAGATCCTTGAAATTCCATGTGTAGCTTGTTATTGTCCATTTTTTTATTTTCTTTACAACTCTAATTACTCTATTAATCCCTAAAATAAATGATAGATTACTGAATTACTAAAATAATTAACAGTAAACAGCCCCGAAGACATCTTGAGAAATCCTGCCAGATTCTCACAAATCTTGACTTTTGTAAGAATCACAAATAACTTATAAAGTAATCAAACTTGTTAATAAATGGAATATAACCTTCAACATGTTACTGTGAGTAAGGTGCACCAAACAACATAATTTCACCGTTTTCACAAACTTAAATGACTTCGGATTCTGCTACCAGACTGGAAAATGCAGAAGGCATTTTCTTATCTTTCTCATGTCAGATTTCACCTGATTTCACTCACTCTTGCTGATGTGTTTGGTCTTGGCATCCTCTCGCGTGTAGTTCCACTCTTTGGGGATTTTGGCCAGTACACTCTCTGGAAGATCTTGCCTGAGCAGCGAGCCAGGTAGATCCTCACATGTCTGCATCATGCTCACCAAGTGGCCTATCAGGCTGCTGATGGGTTTGGACATGACAGTTCTGATGCACTTGAACAATGCAGGTGCTTCTTTGGCTGTGTCTGTCAAAATAAAAGTTTGTTAGTTACTCAAAAAAAAACCTGAAAATGTTCATTCTTTTAATTTATTTGTGTCTCTATTAAATTTAGATGTGTAATTTGCACTTTTAAATACAGCATAAACAAACATTTTCTGATGGATCAAGGCTGTCACTTTCAATAAACCCAACAAATTAGATTTTACAGTGTTCACTAACTATTGAGCGTTTATAGGCGTTATCATCTGTTGGTCCTGATTAACAGCAATGGAGACACAGTCCTTCAACATGATCTGCAAGTCAGTTCTGTTTAGATATTACATTCTAATCAGCTAGAGATGTCAAAATACAGTAAATCAACAAAAGCTGGAAGCTAAGCCTCATTGGCATTTTCGACAAGTCCAATTATTTCACTTACTAAATGCTACCTGGATAAATCCTGGTACTAAACAAAGCTCATCACAGATGCCTTTGTTCCAGCGCTGAATTTCATTGGTCCTCTTGAAGTGGGCCCGACCAGCAATTAAGCCAATTACGCCTCCAGGAACATTCAGTTACATGAGAAAAGCAGTGCGTACTTACAACACACCCCTTCTCCCTCTCCCCTCATACCCCCCCTCTCATTTGTCTAATTTATGCAACAATAATTACCCCTCACATGTAATAAAAATACAAAAACGAGTGCTCTGGCTCTGCAGGAGTCCGGATTAAACCCCCGAATCAAAGGCAGCTCCGAAAGCAAAGTGTCAGGCCGTAATTGCAGTCTCTGTGTCGGTATGCTAAATCAACGTGCTAACCATTAGCGCAACAGGAAATATTCATGTAGCAGCTTTTATAGAAAGGGGGCGAAAAAAGAGACGGGGCTAAAATGGAAATGAAAATAAATAAGCAATCAAAGAGACAGCTGAAGGTTTAATTATGGCTTTGATTTATGATCAGCCTCTTCTAGCCGCGTGTGCCACCAACTAGCCTGCTGGTCAGATTTGATACTGAAGCAATTAGTGGACACAGTAGGGGGACGAGGCATTAGAAGTTATACATCGGACTGTGAGGAGCTAGTGAGTACGTCAAGGAGCATGACTGTTTGAACTCCACTCGATTCGCAGTGTGGAGAAAGGCTGGTGCCTTCACTGTACCTGCTAAACTGTAAAAGTGGTCCCATAGGTGTCTTCTGTCCAGGTAGCCCTCTAGCACTAGAGCTAGAGCCCTGGGGACATTGTTTAAGGAGGACAGGATGGCAAAAACAGCTTCCACAAACTCGGCAGCAGCCTTCTGAGCCTCGAGGGACACCTCGGCCTCACTGTCCAGACACAGATCTGAAAATACAGAAGCGAAAGAATCAGTTGACATCATATTCAACATGTTTTCCTTGGGGTTTTGGTGGGACACTGTTAGGAAGCTGGCGTAGAAAGTAAGCACATTTAAAAATGCAGCTCTTTAAGTACATAAAAGGTCTTTCAGTTGCAGTTTTTAAAACTTATGGGACAGCAATAAGGCCTTTGATTATAATTTACCTCCTACAATAATGCAACTTATTTTAAACCAGACTTTATGTCTATTTTTGCAGCTTGCTGAGAGAGGCATGCAAGCAGATTCTAGCCTGAAAGAATACAAAATACAGCACTCAAGCTACAATACTTTGCAAAAGTCAGAAACCACCCTTCATTTATTTAATTTCCAGTCAAAACAGAAGTTCAGTACGTTATTTATTTTTCAGCTGTGGGAAAAATAATAAAACATATATTTAACAGAAAATCACAAAGAAGCCTCAACATCTTAACACAATAACAATGTTTTGGGGCAAGTTTAGCATGCCCACCCTTTGCCTTTATTACAGCTTGCATTATTTTTGACTTGCTTGCAGTTTTTCAAAGAAATTTGCCAGGATATTTTTCCACTCCTCCAAAGTTTAGTTGTCGAAGTTGGTTTCACTTTCTGCTTCTCACAATCCAAGTACTCCCAAACACATTCAATGCTGTTGAAATCTGGACTCTGGGCTGGACAGTCCATCGTTTGCAGAATACCAGCAGTTTAGCAATTTTCAAAAGAATACAAAAATAGAGAGTTCTGCTGGTAGGGATATAAACATTTAATACTGAAGGTGCTCTATGGCCAGGGGTTCAAAAAATTGAGAAAAAAGTGAAAACCCATGGCATTCGTTGAGTTAAAAAGTCTTTATTATAACATGGCTTTGGACAAAAAACTTCTCAATGTGTTTCAGGGTAACCCTTCATCAGGGAGCTTAGAGCTGTCTTCTCACAGCCGAAAGATGGACAGAAACACTTGTGGATTCTTTCAGATCCGAAACAAGAGTGGAACTTGATTTTGTCCAATCTCGCAAAGATCTAGCTTTAAGTACTGTTTATCAAGGTGATAGTTTTGGTGGCCTACCAGGTCATGCACAGTTGTTAGGAGTCCCATTTTCTCTATATCTATATAAAAAAAATTTACTCCAGTTTTGGAAATTCTTAATTTTAACTGTGCAAGTGGATCATCTTATAACTAATCTCTAAACTAATTAGATCTTCTGAAAAATAACGTCTAGTTCTGCTACAGCAGCAGTAACCCTAAGAGAGTCATGTAGGCTAGGCCTGTGATAGTTATAGCAAGTTAGCTTGTAGCATCCCCAGTGCTGAAAACTGATACAGATTTTATAGGTGAAACTGTTAGTCGGCAAATTTTGTTTCAGAATCATGTAGTCAGTTCTATTAAACTCTATGCGCTTTCTAAGTACACAGTGAAATAAAAATCATCCTGCACTTCACTTGAATAGCATAACAAAGAACCACACTGAAGAAAAATTGAAGGCCGTCTAAACTAAACACCTTGGAAAGGAGGTAACAAAAGGGTCTGTATGGATATGGGCAGCCATCTGACTTTGTGGATAAACATCCAGTGTGCAAGGACAGCAGACAAGAGGATCATGAATTTGACAAAATGTCCTTGTCTAAGTCCTGTGAGTCCTATAGGGCTGGAGACAGCAGCAGCAAGATCCTGCCTTTTGCTTTGCTTCAGCCACTGTCAGTCTCCCTCGTAGGAGATGACAGGCATCTGAATAGGCGAGTGAATGAAATGCAGCACTCACTGAGCATCTTTGATGGAAAGCAGGGTGCTGTTTGTGCTCCTTTGACAAATGTTGGACTGTTTTGAAATGACAGGCCCAAATTACCTGCCACATTAAAGGAAGCAGTTTGCTAATACTGCTTGGCTTAATAGGAACTGGAAAGAACCGACGGCAATCGATTATGCTTTTCCCTTTCCAGGGGTGAAAGAAACAAAAGCTTTTGACCTACAGTGACTTTATTAGTGTGCATAGCTGTCCAATGCTGCCACTTTCTACACCTTGGAAGAACTCCTTGAACAGATGGTGTGTGGGCTAGTGCCTCAACTGTAGTCTCAAAGTGGAATGATGTGGGGCACTGCAGTGCATGCCATGTTACTACTTTTCTATTAATGATACAATGAAGACGTTCAGGCTCAATCTCAAAAGAGATTCCACACCACTGATAAAACCCTGCAATTTGAACATAAAATACACTACGTGAGGAGTATTACAAACAATGCTGCTAAGAATGACCTTAAAGGTGAATTCTATCCAATTTTCAAAATTTTTGCATAATTCAACTATTAAGATACAAACAAAGTCACAATGTACACAAAGTCAGCGTACAATGTGGCGTTTAAAATAAACTTATCAGTGGTGGCCATAGGAACCAGACATCTGACATGCCTCTAAAAGCTCCCTCACAGAAAGATATGATTTGAAATTGTTACGAATACATTGCCTGATGGCATTTTGTTAAGGATTTGTCCTAAAATGTATTACTTTAAACCCATTCATGGTGGAGAGCTATAAGAACAGTGTTGTAATGCAGAACAGTCCCCAAGAAAGATTAATTTGTGTGAGTGTTGCAACCCCTGGTTCCCATCATACCTACCAAGTCAGTAAGTTTCTCTAGAATGGAGCATTTCATATCAAAACACTAAATGACCTTGCTTAATAATGCAGACTTTTTTTCTTTTAATTTTGCAGAATTTCCCTTTAAATGGAGGTAGATACACTGACCATTACAAGTTTGGCTCGTATTTTCTTTTCTCAAAGTTTCGTCCTATAATAATGATTTGACAGTTTTTTCTTCCAGACTATTGTTAGACTATTGCCTTTTAAACCAAAGGTGGTTTAAATAGCTAAAAGTAATACTGTCTGAAACATTGCTGGCAAACATATTTACGACTGATATTGTTGTCCTCAATATAAACCTATTTAGCCTTTAAAATATTAAGTCAAAACAACAAAGAAACATGCTGATTCATTAAAAAATAACTAGAGCATGTGTGATTTTAAAGGGGAAAATCTGATTGGCCACCCTAGATGCAACCAGATAGTTTCTGCCAGATCACTAGCTTCCACCTTGATGTGAGCCGGGTGTTTGTGGCTCTCCACCCCACCCCAGCAACCTCTGCCCCTACCTTCTTTTCAGGGTAACTGTAGATTTCCACTTTGCTGTTGCTTTTCTTAGCTTTTCTCCCAAGAACATTGTCCAGCACAGTGTGCTGAATTACTGCTACTCCAGCATCAGTGGTGTGTTTTGCTTCTAAATGATGCTTTAGCCTTGATGTACTTTGGTTTTATCAAAATTTTATGGAACTTGCTATTTAAAAGCTGTATTTGACCAAATAAATAAAAACAAAAACAAAACATACAGCACAAAATCAGCTAAGCTCAAGATGGTTCAAAGGATCACACTAGGAAACTGTGTTAACTGCGTTAAAAAAGTAGCATTAATAATATACGTTAACACATTCAGGCTGCATTAAGTAAAGATGTTTTGTTTTTAATTGAAAGAAGTAGCATTACTGAGTCAGGAAAAAAAAAATTATATACTATATAAAAATAAATATAAATACTGAAATAATAATTTAAAAGTCAGTGGTGTGGACGGGAGTTTTTTGAACTACGTCACACATCTTTACATATTAACGTAACAAGCTATGATGATAATTCACTCATATCCTCAAAAGATGTCTCATTAAAGGCTTTTCCAACTTGCTCCCAATATTCAGATTCATCTGCGTCCACAGCACAACCAAAATTACAAAATACAATTCTTACAATTCTTTTGCATGTTGCGTGCAATTGCACCTTTCCACCAGAAAGGTCATTAAATCCCCAAATCTTATATAGTATAGCTTTAACTTTGACACTACTTCTTAAAACATTTTTAATTCCTGGGGGTCCCCAAACTTTTAACAGTGCTATATGATCACCCCCAATTCAGGGACACCGAGTCACAAGCAAATAAGAGCAAAACCTGATTGTACATGGTGGATGACCAGGCCACAGTGTTTCTTCTTAATTAGCCGGGCTGCAGCCGCAGCACGTTGATTTACGGCTTTGTGATTCTCGCATCACAGCGCGGAAGCAGACGTCCTCACAGCCCAAACCGGTTATTAATGAGCTCTCTATAATGTGAATTAATGTGCAAGCGCAAAACAGTCTTTAAAGGTTACACTTTTCCGAGTGGAGAGAGGGGAGGCAAATCTTTAAAGGTCATTCACTTTGCTCCCCACGCCGAAATGAGTGTTTATTACAGAGCACTATTGATTCAAAGATGATGACGAGGATGATGATATGTGTTTACCCAAATGAGCTCAGAAAGACCCGCTCAGCTTAAAAAGCTCAGGCACCAAAACAACCTGAATGACTGTGTGTGACGAATGAGTAGGACATTCTAATTTATTCATAACTTTCATTTCTATTCTGTTGATATTTATGTGCACTGAGCAGAGTAACACTTGTCGATGATGTTGCTTGCATCTTCATAACTGACCGAATTTTCGATCACACGAACTGAACTGCAGGATTTGTACAGTCACCAACATAAGCCTGACATGAGCCTATGTAAACATTTATAAAGGCTTATTTCTGCAAGGCTCAGTTGTCATCAAGGATGCTTTTGTCCATTTTGATGTAGTTTCACCTCAGCAAGTGTTATGACAACTGACAGTTGTTGGAATAAGCCTTTAAAAATGTCTTAAGAGGTTGTGTAGCCTTACTAGTGATGCCCTTCAGTAAAGCATTACCAAAATTTCCTACTTTTAGAGCAGCATTCCAGCCTCCACCTTCCCCACATCATGTGGGCAAAGGCTTTGTTTCATTACTAACTGATATTGTCTCAGCCTGAAATTTATTTGTTTATCTGACATCACGTTTCGATTTTTTGTAGTGGAATGCAAATGCCAGGCATTTCAGACATAATCACTGAACATAGCATTATTATGAGCTTACATTGTTGACAATTTTTATTTGATACCCAGAAATAAAGTTATGGTGTAAAATACAGCTTCTCTGATGTGGTTGGCCTAATGGCATATTGCTTTTAATTAGCACTATTAACTATAGGTTAAGGTTGCTGTAACTAGCCCAGGCTGGGTTTCCAAAAAGAATCTTAGCACAAAGATAATTCTCAAATGGCAGAGGGAGCATCACTTTCACATTGAACACCCTCTCTACCCGTTAAGATGATTGGGAAACTGGGCCCAGGTTAATTTAGCAACTGTTTTCTATTTAATTAATGTTATATTTCTGCCTCAAGGCTCTCAAGGACACCACATGCTAAGGGACATGTTACCTTGTCATGGCAACTCCAAGTTTTAGGCTTTATAATTTTTTTTTGTGTTTAACACATAAAGCATTTGCTACATTTGTAAACGCAATTTAATGAAAAATAATAATATATATTTTGACCAGATTTCACATATCACCTTTGTAAAATCAAATGTTCATTCATTCATTCATTTCCCTCTTACACAGCCTACGCTTTAGCTGCATGAACATTTTATGACAAATGGACCCCAAGAAATGGTCCAAATTGATTGGAATTAGAGTCTTGTTACACTACCCTACAAAAAAGTTACACCTCCTTTTTTCCTTCTCCAATAATGTTATAAACATAGAGATATGAGGCTTCATTACGACAGCGATGATACATTGCGGGCACCAAAATGCCCATATGCATGTACTGGCAGATCACTGCTTTAAAATATATTTCTGATGTGCAGCAACCCTCTTAGCAATTGGAGAATGCTGAAATGAACCATACAGCTATGGATCTTCTATGCATCCAGAGTGTATGATGGAGAATAAGAGAGGCTTACGTGAGTGGGAGAGCAGTAGACGCAGCAGTAAGCAATCGCTGTGCAGCATGGCCTGCAGGACAACAACGGGACAGCAGCCTGGACCTGAACTGGCCAGCTTCAGCAGCCAGAGAGGCGAGCCTTCACAAGACACAGATTCCCTGCAAAAGAGAAACAAAATTAATCTATTTAGCCATCAGACAACGGGGATCCGTTCTCGCACACACACTCTTTCATCTCGTTACGCTCAACACAAAACGTACTGTAACTCTGCCCCAGGCTCCTCTTTAAATGTCAGTTCTTCAGCGATTCTGCCGGCTCATGTCTAATATGTTTGCTCATTAAAGCTGCAAACGTGGGAACGGGGATGACAGTGAGTTCTGGGGAGCGTGTTCAGTGTTTGGAGGGATTCCAAACGAAAAAGAAGTTTTAGAAGGGAGCCACGGGCATATTTTTTTTCTTTTAGAATAACTGTAAGTCTTTATACAATCCAAAACTCTACACGAGTAAAGCTGAAATTCAAATTTACACCCAGTGCTGACATGCGCCGAAGTGAGTGTTCACATTTTGTCAGTGTTTTTCACAGGTTATACACTTAAATATCTTTTGAGAGCAAGTGAAGGTGAACAAATCACATATGCGATGTAGTGAGACGCAGCAGAGTCAGCTGCTGAAACGTAGAGCAGGGTGCACCCTGCTGCCTGAGATGGGAAAGCTGTTCTTCAGTCTAGCACAAGCAATTTATGATGTCACACAGCTACAAATCCAGCAAGCTCCTTTAACAATCCTGATAAATCTGAGAGCCACACCACAGGGTCAGATTTTCTCTCTGTACTCCCTCTCTCTCACACACACACACACCCCAAACACACTCCAAAACACCCTCTCTGAGACCTCACAATGCAGTTAAATTTATCTACATTCCTCCTGATTTTTTTATGAGTGCTTTATTAAATAATAAAAATCTGGTGATACATGATTTATCAGCAGGCTACACGCTATTTGCCCATAAATGGGAAATATTATTGTTATCTGTTTGATACTGAATTTATAGTAGGGATGGGCATTTCAGTCAAATTAGATATTTAAATTTGTAGGAAAGGCATTATTTAAAAAAAAAAAAAACAGAACAGAACAAAAAAAAATATATATATAGGTTTCTTTAGGGCTACACCACTGTCACCAGGGATAGTGATGCCACTCAGCAACTTACTATGGCTCTACTATATTAAACCTATGCCACAAATCCGTTGTAGGTGACAAAAGGCATAAAATTTACCCATAGAAATGTGTCTAAAGTCTAATGTCTTTAAGATAAACAGACTCTGCTTAGGTTACGAGCCCATATTTCACTGCATAGTTTTTAGCCTGAAGCAAGTTTGACGAGAATTAGCTCATTTCAAACCTGATCATTTCACTAAATTATGGTAATTTTTTTTAATCTATACATATTAGAGAGTAAAATGTGCTTGAGTTTCTTTTCTGCACTTAATCATTTAAATAATTTCACTTTTATGTGCTGTAGTGGAGCTTTGTACTATTTGCAACCTGGTGCCAGAGACCTTCTGGTGGCGTGGCATAGAGGTTCTCACTCAGTATGCAATGCCATTTAGCCGGCTGCAGTAGTCTTCCTCTGCTTCCTTCTTTAGACTAAACAGATGAGAAACTCTGACCAGATGTAGGTTCTTGACTGCTTTCTGGGTTAGTATAGAGTTCAGACATCTCATGGTTCCTTAATATGACAGTTATATTGCTACAGAAAAGCTGATGTGCATATCAAAAATCCTAATTCACTATTTGATTTATTAAACTATCATGATGATTTGAACATCTGAAAATTTAGACTCGGCCCTTCATTAGTGTCAATAATTATAACTAATACTTTAGCTCGTTATTGTCGCTAAAATGACAGTGCTATATCATCCTTAGGTAAAACTCCTAACGTTATGGTGACCTAATGTTATGATAAAATATTTGCATTAAATAGGAGAGATTTTGAGAATAATCTGATTTAACTATATCACGGCTATATAAAATGAATTTTTGATACACATGTGGAGTTTCAACTGTCTCATCATCACTTTTCATTTAATGAGAGAAAAAAAAAAAGTATCAATTATTAATATCAGTATCAGCCACGAAATATAATATCAGTTGAGAAATTCCCTATCAGTGCATCCATAATCAAAAATGAATTCATGGGGAAAGTTTGATCTGTGTGTGGCCATTTGGATTAAGCGACTCTCCCCCTGCCAAACACAAGGAAGCCTTGAAAACAGCAAGACACAAATAAATCTACAAGGTAATAACACTAAACTAATTTCAGAGCTTTGAGGCCAATGGGAGCAGGGCTGGTGGATGATTTGTGAGATCAGGACACTCAGTGATATCACACTGAGGCAGGAGCAGAGGGGTGGGGAGTGCTTGAGAAGGGTGATGTCACATGAACTTGACATTTGCCCCAGTTTCTCGGCCCTCCTACGGCTCGGATTCAGCCTTTCACACCCCATGTGTAAAAGCCGCAGAGCACATCAGCATAAACAGCATGACCGACAGTGGCATCAGCATCTGGTCTGCGTTAGCTCAGTGAAGCTAGGGGGGCTGCTTGCAATAATGCATGACTTGTGTGTTTGTCTGCACTGAATATACAGTGTTTAAAAAAGACAGACACATTTTCAGTCTTTTTCAAGCAGATATTATGCTGCATATACTAAGCCAAATGATTCAGATTGCATTTAATTATTTTGTGAGAGGTCATAATTAATGCTCTGATTATAGGTTTTGTTTTTTTCACGCATATAATTAGTAAAGTGCTCAAATGACACTTGCTAACAATCACAGTACCTCAGCAACTCCTGTGGGAAGAGTGTAGGGTTGATCACGTTGAGCCAGAAAGGAGCATGGCTACTGTTTGCTTCGGCCGAAGTGTTGGGGGTCCCTTCACTAAGCCCATTCTGAAAAGTACTAGATGACACAAGAGATATTACTTATAAAAACAAGCCTGAACAAGTCTATGCTCAAGACTAATCAATCTCTTCCATATGCACAATTACTCAATGTGACGATAAAGCAAAAAAACATTAGAAGTGTGTAATAATGAATAACATCACAACCTTAAGCATGTTACTGCTCACAATAATCTTGTAAAGAAAAAAAGAAAGAAGAAAAATTTAAAAACGACAAAAGAAAAAAAGTAAAGCAGAGAAGTCCAGAATAGTGTTTCAAATATATGCTTTAAATACTGGCAGTTTCTTTCACTATAAAAGTAGCCCCACAAATGACTTTGACCCTGTTTTCTAATACAGTCATTTCTCTTTTTTTCTATACTGGTTAAAGCACAGTTAACGGTTAGCAGTAGCTTAAGAAGAGTAAAACTGTCACAGTTGTTACTTAGTAGCCAGATTTGACTGCATCATAACATTAACCCAAGGAATGAGTATCTGTAGTACCTGTAGAGCTGTGGTAAGGGGGCAGTGAGAATGGCACATACACTCAGCAGTTGATTACATAGGCTGTGAATGCAGGACACCCAGTTTCCTGATGCCAGGCATGGCCTGACCAGCTCCTCCACACTGCCACACAAGCTCCACATCAACTCCTCCACACACAGCAGGATAGCCGTGATGTCTACCCTGAGACAGGAGAGAGGACAGTAGATGATGGTCAGAGAAAACACAACAATGATGTGCAGTATGGTGTACAGTCCCGAGACCACCTTTTTATGTATTCAATTTCCTCTCAGTGCAGCCATTAAGTACACATTATTCATTTTTCAGGTGTCAGAAAAAAGGAAACATATATTTAACTGGAAACTACACAGCAGCCTCCAGCACGAAATATAATAACAAATCTATCACTATTTATTTGTCCGCTCCTTACTTGTGTACACCCTAATGCAAATGTTAAAACCAACAAATTATAGCTGTGTCCATCAAACAAACACTATTCCCCAAGAAGTATCAGACATCATGTTCCCCTTCAAAGAGACCCTAACATTCACACAAGCAACTACCCAAACACACCTTAGCTGCCTTAAAATAAAATAATCCACTTGCACAAGGAAGAGGAGAGTCAACTGAAAAAAATAAATTTCCAAAATTGGATGTAATTTTTTTTTAAAGAAAATGGAACTCCAACCAACCCTGCAAGACCTGGTAAACCCCCAAACTGTCACTATCAGGCAAACGGTATATTCAATTTTAATAGAAAAAAAAACTCTTGCTTCAGATCTGAAAAAAATCGACAGGTGTTTCTGTCCATCCTTCCACTGCGAGAAGAGTATGAAAGGATGTGTAGCTGTTAAGAAGATGTTACAGAGAAAAGGAAATAAACAAAAAAGACAAGAAAAAAACTATACATCTGAGATGTACAGTAAGGTTTTATGGACTAATGAGTCTAAATTCGTATTTGGAGTTACTTGGATTGTTAAAAGCAGAAAATGGAACCAATTTACTGAACTTTGTGGGTATGAAAATATCCCTACATGTCTATATGAAAAACTGAAACAAAGTCTCCTGAAAAGAATGGAAGCTGTGATATTATATTTAGTTGTTACACTTGTTATAGTTAGTTGAGGCTTTTGTGTAATTTTCCATTAAATATATGTTTCCTGCTTTTTTCCTGATGCTGAAAATTGAATACTTGTACTTAATGGTCGTTTTCAATGGAAATGAATTAAATAAAGAGTGATCTTTGACTTTTGCACTGCACTGTATGCTGTCATTATATATTCTCTTTCAACAATTTGTATGAAAAGGTAAAAATATGTAATCTTTTAATGGCCAAATCCTTAGAACACTTTCCTTTCATTTTAAATGATCTCAGAGTTATGTGTGTAATGTGTGTCTGGACAGGCTCAGCATCAGGTGAGGTCAGAAAAAACACTCACTTAGATCCCCTTGTCAAACCTCACCTCATCACCCCATTAACTCTTCCCTGCTTTTACACTGCACTCACTGAACATCCTCCATTCTAAAGATGGGTAAAGAGAGAAAGAATGAAAAAAGAGATGGAGAAAGAGAGAAATAAAGAGAAATAAAGAGAGAGAGAGAGAGAGAGAGAGAGAGAGAGAGAGAGAGAGAGAGAGAGAGAGAGAGAGAGAGAGAATGGAAAGGTCCATCTGCTTGGCAGACTCTGAGCTGGGCCTGCATTCAGCAGCTTGTAACCGGGTGTCCTTGCAGCAAAAAGCATTGAGGGGAAAAAAATGCAAACCAGCCTTTCCATTCATCCCCATCTTTCTCTCCTCTCCCTCCTTCTCTTCTTCTTCCCTGCTAGCCCCTGGGCAATCTGCGCTTTCTCAGCGTTCACTGGCTAGAGCGTCTTTAACCACTTTAAGTATGTGCTAATGCAGCGCACAAGGCCCCTGCAGTCAAAGCGTTAGTAAGGTCCAGGCCTGCTCAAGCCCAGCCCCGTGGAGCATGACGGAGCAGGGGCCCGGAGCCAGGCGGCCAGGCTGGGGCCGTTCACTAACAAAAGAGAGCCTGTTCTACTTTCACCAATCTGGAGCTCTGCGCCGAGCCCGGGGGCCAAGCACCAGCGCAATCACTAAAGCATTCAAAACGGTCTGCTAAGCCCTCCCGGACAGGCAGGCTAGTGTTTCGTGAGGCGCTACAGATATGGGCCGAGATCGTGGATGCAGGCAACAGTGCTGATGACCGCTCGCAGTTACACTATGGCCTAACTGCTGGTTTTATAGTAACAGCCTTCACCTCGGATTACAATCAAGCTTAATTACATAAGTAATCACTGCAATATAACATTTCCATACCTCACGCTCATGTGTAAGAACCAAACCTAAAGGGACAGCTCAACACTCTCCTTACCCCAAATGTAGTTGATCAGCCAGGACATTTGGCTTCCAAAGTTTTCTTTCTGGAGCTACAAGGCAAATATAACTAACAAGTAGGGATGCACTGAAATTTCAGCCATCAAAGGATTTTTGGTACCTTTGTTTTAGAAAAATTACAATAATGTATTAACAAGACTTTACAAGTAGTTTTAATGGTATTGTAAAGGGAAAACAGTGATTAAATACATTGTTCGTTTCCGCCACTCTCCTGCACCGGTCAGGGCAGATGAGTTCAAACTGTTTAAGCGGCAGCAGATCCACGGTGGAAAAAAAAAATCTGTCATGTAGATCTGTTTCACAGTTCCTACAAGGGACATTAAGACAAGTGATTTAAAAACATTGCTCCTGTTGAGTATTAAGGGAGAATATAACATCTAACTTCTAAATTAGTGCATCACTACTAATAAGTAAATAAATGTATGCCTAACTTAGCATTCACTTTCCTCAAATCCTGTCGAGGAACCAATGGAAATGCTCTTTACTGGCAACTCCCACTTACAGCATAGGTTGGTAATGATTAGAGGGTTGCCAAAGGACTGCCCACACATGCTAAACCAGAAGGGCAGTAACATAGTCACTTATGTTTCATGTAACTGGTAAGGTAAACAATTACCAGCCAAGTTTGTTGTTTGCTCTAACATCGCACATACAACTACTAGTGCATAAAGTTACTTCTAACAGTGGCAAAATTCCACCTACATGGGCAGTTCTAGACCATAAAAGAGGCTACTGCGAGGGCTCACAGGATATGCAAATGAGCTAGAAACACCCTATAGTAGCACTACAACTACAGTAGTACTAGCAGAAATTTAAAGCTTGAATTTTGCCTATATTTTTCTCCATTTTAGGTCCAGTGCTAAACATCAAACACCAGACTACATTTCGCCCAGACTACATTTAGGGTATGTAGACCTGATTTTGTGCTGAACTATCACTTTAAAAGACTGTTTTTGCAATATAGCAGTAAGACAACCATTTTTTATAGATGGCCTATTCAGAACGAGTGCATAGACATAAATGTAGAAAGTAAAGCGTGATCAAAAGGTCTTGGACATCTCTGATGAATGGCCAGGTTCAGTTTGATGGGTTTGCCAGCTGAAGGCTAAGGACAGTTAAGAATGACTGATCTGAGACTGTGTGTCTGATACCTGATCTGGGGGAGTCTCTTGTATGAGGGCTGTGCTCTGGAGTATCTCTGAAGCAGGAGCTCCAGCGTCTTAGCTAACACCTGAGCCAAGGTCTGCTGCGCCAGCGCTGGAGACACTGACCCCCACAGGTCACTGCACAGACCCGAGAGGAAATAATGCCACATCTGGATAGAGAAGGAACACCTTTCACCCTGTAGAGGAAAGAAAGGAAGAAAGACTTGAATTTATGCCATGTTCTAAATAAAAGAAGAAGAGCAGAAATTATGGCCTCTCGTGATTCGTCTTCTACATGACACCACAATACACAAACTTGAAGATGAACAGGAATATGTAAACCCCAAGAAGACATTGATTCTATTGATTCTATGTGTGAAATACGTGTTTTAAGATGAGTAAAAAAAAAATCAATAGAGAGATTAAAATATGAAACGCAAACAGACAGACACAGAGTGGAGAGTGTAGAAGGAAAGAAAAGAAAAAAAGGAGAGATAAAAGATGGAGATGTGGCCTGTCTCTCTGTACAGAGGCTCATGGTCATGCCACCTGCACTCCACACCTGGCTCCCTCAAACCCACCGAGACACACACACACACACACACAGAACACCCGGGCTTTGAAGGCCTAGCCTGGAGAAACCATCAGCACTCTTCAGAAGATCACCCAACATAAACACACACACACACACACACACACACACACACACAAACACACACACAGCAAAGATGATAGAAACACAAATGACTCTTGCAAAGGGTTACAGCAACATTATGGAGAGAGAGTGCAGATAGATAGAGAGAGACACAGAGAGAGAAAGTGAGAGAGGGAGAAAGTGAGAGTTTCCTGTGAGTCTTAACTGTTTTCAGGCAGGGAGGAAACAGCACTGAGGGTGACAAAAGACAGATTATTAACAGCCATGTACAACATGTGTTGTAATGAGGACTGAGACGAGCTCCACCAGAGAGCCAGAATTCAGAATTGAGCCACTCATACTAGAGCATGACTACATATCCAAATTCCACCCACTTCAGTGCTCTAAACAGGTGGCCCAAACAAAATGAAAATTATTCTGATATATTTGATATAAATATCAATTTTAAGGAACTGATATTAAGATTAAGATTAAGATTAAGTGACCCTTATTAGTCCCACAAAGGGGAAATTTCACCTCTGCAATCTAACCCATCCATGCAGTAAAACACCACATACACACAAGTGAACACACACACAAAGGGGCAGTGAGCACACTTGCCCGGAGCGGTGGGCAGCCCTATCCACGGCGCCCGGGGAGCAGTTGAGGGTTAGGTGCCTTGCTCTTTTTTTTCCCCCAATAGTTCTGTAAGACTCAACCAGTTTTAGGGACATATGACGATCAGTTGTAAAGCTTCTTCTACTCAGACTTCCATAGTTCATATCTAATAACCCCTAAACTGTGGTTAAATCACTGTAATGCGGAACTTCTCATGGTTTCTGCTTCAGCCCTATAGAATATAAATATTGTAGCAGCAGGAACAGAGCGTCCTCAAATATTTTTTGTTTGTTTTGTTGTTTTCTGTCAATTGGCTTTTTCTTTTTTTATCACTTTTCTTCATATAAAGGTTTTTTTTGGGTGTTGTTATAACATGTTTCCCCCATGCTAAATTTTTGGCTTGGATGCATTCTACATGCTTTTGTTATTTTATCCATGGTCATGTTCAGTTCAGGTCCAATTCAACCTGTATTGTGTAATGAGAATGCACAATAGTTGTCTTAGCAGTTTGTGTAAGACGTGGTTGCATGAAAAGAGCATGAAAATTTAGAGAGCATAAATTCCTCAAAAATGCATTCCAACAATGTGTTTATTATAATGTAAAAAGAAGCCACTTGGCAGCATTTTCACTCATACCATATAAAGCCTTAGTTCTACCGGCCAAGCGATATATCAGTTGGGACCTACTCTGAAGCAGCTTTGACCCCCTTGCATTTGTAGAGAGCCAGAGGGACAGAAACAGAGGAGATATACAAGGAAGGTGTGGGGCTGTGGGTCAGTAGAGGCCCAGACACAGGCAGCCAGTCTCACACCTGCACACAGCAGGCCTGTCTGCCCCACAGCCTGCAAAGAGGGTCTGTGTGCATGTGTTCGTCCACTGTCTGGCTATGCCTTAATGGAGGCATAAGTTAGGACCACAGTAATGGACTTTTCCTGTACAGATGGTTCCCTCTAATGTTGCCTTGGGTTTCCGCAGGAGGGTCACTACAATGCAATACTGCAGAATATTCTACAACACAGGAAGATAAAGCTACTTATGCTAATGCAAGAAAATTCTCCAACACAAGTGGTTATTATGAACAATAAATACAAAAAAAGGAGTGAAAGGCATTTGTGTACTGTGGCTTGCCAGTGTTTAAACACTGTGAAGCAAATGCATTATACTAAGGACAGCCAAGAGCTAAAGAACGTATTTTTTTGTCCATTAATACACTTTGTTATCTTTCCTGGGTTAATTCTAGAATAATCTATTAAAATGTGGCCTATAGTTTAGCACTATAATCACTCAACTCAATAAAAAGCATATATCACTTAAGTTCTATTGGTACTGGAGTAGTTTTACCTTGAGCGGTACTATGACTAAAGCGATTACAGACAAAATCAGTAACTGATCCAGACCAAATCTACAATGTCTGCATGTTATAGAGTCTGACAGTAATAATTTTGGAGTGAATCACTTTGGTTCAGCCTGGTGCTCCCTCAGTAATAGCAGTCCTGGTTAAATTGACTTTACTGTAATGTCATAATAGAACCTGGTAATAGATTTGGCTATCTGCCAGATCACTTTTCTTATTCAGTGTGGTGCCCGTCACGTAATGTTGACATGGAGATCCAGGCTACGACCACTCAGTGGTCTGAATACAAATACAAATCATCATATCCTGTACAAATTACATTACCAAACTACTCTGGCAACATTAAAACAGCTGGAATAGTAATAAAGATAATTAAATTGCAAAACTCAAGAGTGGCAAAAGGTTGCATACATATTTAGAATTGCATTCTGTCATCTAAGGATTATAACATGGGTAAAAATCTACCTCTGGTCACAAGATGTTAAGAAATTGATCCATGTCTTGGCTATTGTAATGTATCACTCACAGTACTTATTATAACTACAACAAATTGCAACTTGCATAAAAACATCAGCCAGAATGTAGCAGACAATATGACCATATTTATGGAAGTCCTAACGGGCAATGGATAATGAGTTATTTTCATTTGTTTTCTTAAGATCTTGTAATGTTTAGTTATCATGTTACACTCACTGTAACATTCAGTCTCTCGTGGCTTATTGCTTTAATAAAATACAGCAAATGTAGGAAGAACCACTTGCGCCATCTGCACCTCATAAAATGGCTTGGGGTCCGCCCAGTAGTGGCTCTCCGCATCCTGCAGTATACTGGTGGCACACACATGGACGCAGTAGCTGGTCAGGTGCTCATGCACAGCAGCCGTCACATCCTGGCTCCTCTGGATGGGCAGCAGAGTCAAAGGTCTGCAGTCGGACACATCAAAGCCACAGGGCCCAGATTTAAGAGAACAAGCAGGAGTCATGCAGCTTACAGGTCAAAGTGGCATTAAGTGATTAATACCAGCAAATGGCTTCGATTATTACCTGCCAGTCATACGCCACCTCCCTACTTCCTCTCCGCCCCTCTTTTCCACCCCTAGTCCCTCTCTAAAAATATGAGGCCACACGTGCTGTCTGAAACAATCAACCTCTCCTACCACTTTTCTGTCCTTCATTTCTTTCTCCCTCATTCTCTCTCTCTCACGCGCGGCTTTCTCGCTCACTTCCCCTTTGGCTCTTTGTGGGCTAACATCTGTTTTCTGACAAACACACGTCCTCCCGTAGATAAATAGTTCTGTCAGGAACTCGCAGGCTCATGCAGATCCCACTCCGATTCTTTACAATCCAATTACGGCATTTTAGTATTTCTGGCAACGGCCTGACAATCTGCCTTACTGGGGGAAAAAAACTTGCTTGACAAACTATAAATTGAAAAATCTCTCCAGAAAAGCCTCCACCTTCACAAATAACTCTCATTTTTATGTACAAATGCATAAGTTACACTTTAATTTTCTAGGCAAAGCCGATTTTTTTTATGTGCCGTTTTATATTTGATATTTTATCATCCATGGAGAGACGCAGGGTTATTTATGAACCTCAGAATTGCATGGGATGGAGCGCTGGAAGGGAATGATGCTTGCATGAGATTTTGGTGAGTTTTTGAAACACTCAGTAGGAGAAAGCATACAGGTTAAAGCCTAGGATCAACCTAATCTATAAAATGCATTGCTATTAACCCCAAAGGCATCAGCTCATTTCTCAAATCTCATGTAAAATATACATTCCTTTCCTCAGGGATCTATAATTTAATTGAGAGAAATGTTTGATGGACATAAATCAGATTTTATATTTTAAATATCAAATATGGTAGGCAGGTTTTATACTTTCCTCTAGACTTACTTTATATTTGCTCTAGAAATATTCAAAAATAAATGGGCAAATGTCAACTAGCATATTCTTATTCATTTTCTAACCTTCACTTGACTGAAAGAAAGATCAGCCAAAAGGGAGTTCCTTGGTACTTACCCTTGACATAAACCATATGCACGCAAGTACATTAGACACAAAATGCACTTAAGATTTTAAACGTTTCACAGACAGCTAACATATCGACCAACACTGGCTCAGGAGTTCTGTCTCACTCTGTTCCATGAGAAATAACCGTCTTAGAAAAACATTCTCAATAAACGGCCTTGGAGACAAACAAAAGGGAAAAAAAGTTTCCTAAAACACTTCCTAAGGCCACTGTGGTCTGATGACACTGCAGCATAACAACTAGCTTACAAGCAAATCAAGCATATCAAGCTACTTGATTTTAGCTTCAAATGACCTATTACAGCTGTTTATATTCAGAATATACAGCACTGTATAATTAGAAATTTAATCACACAAGGTCTGCTCACAATGGTGTCCGAAGTTTGCTTCCTTTGCACTGGAGCTAAGAGGCTAATGCAGCTACACTGTTGTACAAACAAAAAAAATCCATTTTACTGAAAACAGTAACTGGTCTGCTTTAAAATGAGTTCAATGAACTTCAAATAATAATGAACAAATGTAAGACTTTTATTCTGTTAACTTACTATTAGAAGATCAATTCACTCAGAATTTTAAGTCCTGGTTATTACTTGTTTAAGATAAAATGTCAATTTTTTGAAATTAATTTTTTTTAAACAGTGTACCATCACTAGCCTTTTGCTCCAGTGCAAAAGTAAGCAAGCAAATTTCGTCTTGGTTGATCGACTACATTTATGACATGGAAGAAACTTTAGTTTTACTTTTGACCAAACTATCAATTCAAAGTAGCAACTTCTGTTATGTGCAGACTCAACAGTTCTAGTGCAATTGCCCAGCAAAAACAAGCACTGGAAGCTTATAATCACCTGTTAAAAGTCTGCAAACTGCAAGGCTAAATTATCAGCGACTTGCCTTAAACTGTTGTTACAGACTTGCTGGTATGATTTCTGACATTGTGTATTAAATCACATACTGTTTTCTACAAAATTCAACAAGCATATACATAAAATTTAGCATCATGTTAGCTGCTACTACCGTTTTAGCTAGTCAATGTACTTCTGTTCAAGTAAAGGGAAAAATGTGTTGATTAGATTTCTGGCCCCTTTAAAAGATGTTACTCACATGCGGGTGGTGTCCCTCAGCTGGCTCTCATAGTGTGCCAGTCTCTGTTGGACGTAGATGCTGGAAGCCAGTAGTGTGGGGAGGTTTTTGAGGGGTGCTGAGGTGGGCACCTGCCCTGATCTTACCTCCAGCCTGGCCAGCAGAGCGGAGGTCACCCGGCCACAAACCTCCACATAACAGGAGCGCAGAGTGTCATCTTTACAAGCCACAGCCAGAGGCAGGAGAGCATCGAGCTCCTCCAGCACATCCGCACAGAACTGCAGAGGATAAAAGGAGAGATCTATTTTTACAAAGTGCTCAAAGATACAATGTAATTAACGGGCACATTCCCCTTGAAATTCACTTTATACGCTTTAATATACCAAAAGTCATCCTTCATTTTTACATGACCATCTTCCAACCTTGCTTTATCCTTATGAATTCAGCAGGCTGTAAATCAGGGGCGTTAAAGATCCAGGGCTCAGCCGAGCTCATAGTACAATTATTTTGGGAAACTGTTTTAATTAACCTGCAAAATGAGCAGTTGTTACTTTTTTGTGGTCAACAATTCAACAAAATTCAACAAAAATGTGCATCTATTCAGCAATGCTGACTGGTGCGTCTTATAAACAACACCACGAAAGAAGAGTGAATGTAACAGAAAATTAAAAATGTGTCAGAGATGTGTCCCCAATACTGACATTAATAAAGTCCTCTGCACATTCTCTCTCTCTCCACATCAACCATCTCTTCTACAGATTTCCTCTCTAATTTCCTGCCACATACAAACATTTTACCTATAATTTTTATATATGTTGAAAGTTAAATAGTCATTAATTTAACTCTTCTTGCCTAAAACCAAACAAGAAACAATATTTTAAATATAAAAGATCATGCTAAAACACAGCATTCTGTCTTTGTCATTTTAAGTGCTGATGAACATTGTTAGAGATCTGCTATCTGATATGAGACCAGCGAGCCCTACACATTATCAGGTACATAAATGTTTTCACATACAGCGCCGGGTTGAGCTTATTTCCAAATGTGACTTTTATGTACAATGTAAAATCTGATTTGGACTTAACCTGGCTGCCTTCAATTTTTAATGTTGTACTTCAAATCATGAGTTAACAGTATTAAACAGTCATAGTAATTGTTCTGTTAACGTGGAATTTTTAAACGGCCAGTTTACTTGCACTTATAAGTTTATGAGTTATTGTTTCATATTGGAGTAGATTCGCCTTTTTCACAGAAATTTCAAGCATTCACACATTTTCTATCTAGCACTCAACGTGTGTGCACTTTCTCTCTTTCGCTCACTCTATCATGCCATGCTCTCTTTCTCTATTGTGCCACTCTCTTTTTCATTCTCTCTTTCTTTAACTTTTAAGGAGTGGGTAAAAATGTCCCTCAGTAACGTTATAAGGTTTGGGGCTGGTTAAAAAATACTCAGGGCTATATCCCCAAATACCTAGGCCAGGCAACACCCCTAATGTAAATTACCTCTATTCTAATTGGCAGAGCCTGCAACTGAGGTAAAACCCACTCTAAAAAAAAATAAATAAATAATAATAAAAAAAAATCAGTCTAGGTCTAAATGCAAGCAAAGAAAAAAAAACACCTAAAGACTATAACAAGTCTGACTGGGTGTTCATATGCAAAAGTGTGTGATGCCACAGCCATGATAAGTCCCATTTTCACAGCTTTGTATACGCTGATGGACTGTATGCACTGGGGAGTGAATGGTGCATTGTGAATTACACAGTACACCAAGTTCATTTCATAAAAGCAAGGACATTTTCTTGCTTTTTTGTTTTTTGTTTTTTTCTTTCATGAAATGTCACGTCAAGGAAAATGATAAACCACCAAATCATCATGCGTTTCTCTGTAAACTTTCATTCACTTTAGTTCAGAATACATCAATGACACTCTTTTAAATCAAACTCTTAAATTGTATAATTATTATTCAGTTGTTAATCTTAATATTCATTATTCAGAAACTGCAATAAATTATGAATTTAACAAGCAGGTTAACTGGTTTCATTTTAAATTAAATACATTCTTAAAACAAAGAACAGTAAAATAACAGTTTAGATTTCAGTACAGTGTTCATTTACCCAATCCAAAGCCTCCATGCTGCTAGATAATCCTTTATTAATCCCACAACGAGGAAATTCACAGTGCATGCATTACAGTTTATGAAACTAATTTCTACATTTTTGAATGAATAAATACATGAATGAGGAATTCCCTTAGAGTTTAAGGTGTCAGATGTATTAAAAATATTTTTTCAGGCACCTTATCAATACTTACAGAAAAAGTGTGAAATCCCCCCCCCTGGACGAATTACATTTTATTAATTTTCTAAGTAAACACAAGTTAAGACATCCTCTAGAGAAAACAAACGTATGTGGCATTTTTTCAGCAAATGTTAGTGCACAATTTGTACTTGCTAAGCTTAACAAAATTAAAAAGAAAAAAAAAATACAATAGAAAATGTGCTTTTGCATAGGCCACAATTCTGTCTATGCCAATATGTCAATTTCAGCAAATAAACAGTAATCGTGCATTAAAATGTGCAGACGTCTATTCTCTGTAGAGAATGTTTTACCTTATTTTCACTTAGAAAATCAACAAAATATGTAATTCGACCAGGGCACCCAAACTTTTGCAAACAACTGTAGGCTTATATTTAACTAAATTTCTTCACATCTTATTTCTAAACTTATAGCAGTTTATGAGACCTAAACTAGCATAAATTATTCAATAACTACAAAGTTAAAAAACATACTTTGTCGGTTCAAGCTTAAAAACATGTACCTCATGCTTTACCAAGCTGTTAACTGTGGTTATTCCAGTAAAAAATCTATTTAGTTAAAATGAAAAGCAAAGTAACAGTTCTGATGTAAAGATGGGTACACAAAGCAATCTGTATCAATACACAGTCCTACTTCACTTTGAACAGACAGCGTTGCAGTTTATCTGTTCAGACACCTTAAACATTAGTAGGACAAGGACTCCAATATGCTTTGTATTAAAGCGAGTGAATCGGTCGTGCAGATATGGTCGTGAGAGAAAGTCCAGGCCGGTTTATGATTCAAAGTCTGGCAGGCTCCCCTCCTGTGGCACTTGGAAAGAGGAGCAATACTTTATCTCATGTTTCCACATTTGTCCTGGAGAAAGGATTCTCTTTTCAAGCTCTGAGTGAGAGCATGATTACGAATGTGTGTGTGCATGTGTGTTATACCTGCAAAGAAGTGCCTCGGGAGGCGCCTCACTTGAAAAGAAGACCCCTAAGGGTTATCAGCAGAAGGAAGCAGCCTCAAATCGGAACGCGCTCACACAAAACTTCCAATCTGCCTCCTCTTCCCTTCTGCTCCAACCTCCAAAATGAAGATATCACCTCCAGACCCTTCCCAAGTAACCCCAGCACACCCTGCGCTCCCTCTCTCCCTCCATCCACACTCATGTGCTCTTCATTCAAAGCACATCAGCAGGAACGACACTGGAGCAGGCCACGCCAGCGTATGTGCTGAGTTCACCGCCAAATTTATACACCTATAGAAATGAGTTACGGCGCCAGGCTATTCAAAAGCAGTAAAACATGCATGCACACCATATATATGCTCCAACCCTTCCCTTTCCATTGGGAGTCACCACGTCCTGAGGCCTCAGTGAACACAGAAAATAACAGAATGCTTTTATAAATGGAAACACTCCCAAAACCATCAATCAGACAGTGGAAAGCGAGCGAGAGGTGACTTCATATTTCTCGACTAAATATCTGATACACCTTCAATAGTCTCTCGGCCCTTGGTCCCTGAGGCAGGCTTTACAGAGAGAGACGTTCACGCACTCATGTGTGATAACTCTTACCTGCATAAGGCAGTTGCAACTACCTCAACTTTGTAAAAGTTTAATGAAAAATCAAATAAGGGTGGTCTCTTGGAATAATGTTGTTTATGTTACTGGTAACCTGTTAGCTTAATTAGCTAGCCAGTTAATGTTAACATAAAGGTGATCATTCCTTTATATGAATTTACATTTTATTTCTGTAAATTAACTACAGAAGTGTTAAAATACCGTACATGCATTTTGGGAAACATGCCGTACATGCATGTTTTATTTACATGTATTTAACCTTTGTTCAGAAAAAAAGCTACCACTCATTAAATAATACAGTACTTTGAAAGTACAAAATACTATTTTTTAAAGTGCAGTTTATTGAAAGTTTTGTGAAACAGCTAAAACAGCTAAAACCTGTTTCACAAAGTTCAGATATTAATTTACACCCATCGACATAAAACTCATTAAAAACAAAAGAAATAACACAGCACTAATGATTTTATACAGGCCAAACAACACAATATATGAAAAATATTAGCTATTGTCTTTTTTGTCAATTACTGGAATAACTAAATGTGTCGCATGTACCTGATATTTTTTTATTCTTTTTCTTTATTTTGCAACTATCAAATGGAAATGCGAAAACATAGAACTACAAAAATTACAAATGTCAAAAGTGTAAATGTCCATATGTGTACACGAATAGAGTCCTGATGTTAGAGAATGACATGAAAAAAGTAAAAATGTGAAAATGGACATATGAACAAAAAGCTTTGAAAAGTGTCTAAAAGAACATCTTGAACAATGCAAGATGATTGATGCGAAAGCCATGCAATTTTTCTGTAAGGGTGATAAAAGAAATAAAGAAAAATCAGATACATTTTCACACTGTAAATGACAGACGGGGCATGAATCAAACTTTATCAATACATAATTCCAACTTTGCTTTTTGAAGAGAAAGATTTTCATCTGCTGAGGCAACTTTAACACGAGCAAAGCTGGAATAAGGACTTCAATTCCGTATGCAATGTGTTATAGTGAGTGCAGATATGGTTTGCGAGGGAAGAGTCCAGGCCATTTTATGATTCAAAGTTTGGCAGGCTGAAAGCTGGATCCTGCAAGGTATGGGCCCCTGCCAAGTGTATAGCCTCAGCGGAGAGAAGAGGCCTCGAAACGACAGGCCAGCTCGACAATCGAGTCAATAACCAACAGGGTTTGGCCGTTAGGAGCTTAGCAGGAGTGTGAGAGAAAGGTGGGTGAACGTATACAGCTATACAATCTCAGACCCTATGCTCTCTCAGTCTGAAGGTGATGAGGACTCAAGAGGTGTCTGTGAGATTTATGGCTTTTTCAAGTCCGCCGCTCGGGCTCAGAGAACCCATAACTAGCGCAGATCAAAGATATGGATCCCAATAGGACAGGCAACGCAAGGTTATTCCTCCGCAAGGCTATAAAACATTTAAAAGCTCAGAGTTTTTTAACAGGTACTTTTGAATGGCGCTAAATTCCAGGCCCTCGCCAGAAGGCAGAAGGTTAAGGACGATGCGCAGCCATTGTCAACATGAGGTGGTCAATAACTCGGGTGCAATTTCAGGGTGATAAATGGTTCTCTCAAACATTATGCGGGGCAAGAGGCCTGGCAATGCGGAGAATTTGAACCCAGGCATGAATGTATGAATATGAATGTGTGAAATATTGATTCCATTAATGCATTTGGACTAGCTGCACTCCGGAGCCAAGTCCTGCGCTAGCATGATATGCCTGCTTATGGTCCACTGTGATACGTGTCAGAAATGGTGGGGGGTTCTGAGAGTCTCAGGGCGGCAGGGAATGCAAATAAATGCACGTGGTAACCTTTGAGTGGAGAGCTGCTCATTTCGAAGCACTGACCTACACGTAAATGTGTTGTACAGGTCTTGAGTGTGGACAAATTCTGACACTTGTTAGTGATGTGGTTCCACGAGAACTGTTCCATCAAAGCACCAGAATTAAAATCAGCCTGGAAAGCTCTGAAATTTCACAGCACGCAACAGTCATTTCATTCAAAGGCTTGGAGATGATGTCTTCAAAGATGGAACATCGATCACTAGGCTGTATGATTAGAACTCTGACATTAGGTTGTGGAACCTCAGGCATGCTAATGTCCAAATATATTTCCTAGAGCTTGATTAATGTGACTGAAACCAAATTTAAGCACTTAAAAATTCTGATCAGTGATTGGGATGGCTAATGTAATGATATAAATTAATGTGGTCAAAAATGTAGCACAAATTTAAAGGGGGCATAGCCTGGAAAAATCTTTTTGTGATGTTTTTGAAATTTTCACTTTTTTGAAGAATACTTTTTTTTGAAGTACACTTTTTTGTAGGTATGTAAACTTCTTAAAAAATTGAGCCTTTCACTCCTCAGACCATACAGCCCATATATGGAAAGTTAAACCCTTGCAACTACATACACTATATTGCCAAAAGTATTCGCTCGTCTGCCTTCACACGCATATGAACTTGAGTGACATCCCATTCTTAATCCTTAGGGTTTAAAATGATGTCGGCCCACCCTTTGCAGCTATAACAGCTTGAACTCTTCTGGGAAGGCTTTCCACAAGGTTTAGGAGTGTGTTTATGGGAATTTTTGACCATTCTTCCAGAAGCACATTTGTGAGGTCAGACACTGATGTTGGACGAGAAGGCCTGGCTCGCAGTCTCCGCTCTAATTTATCCCAAATGTGTTCTATCGGGTTAAGGGTCAGGACTCTGTGCAGGCCAGTCAAGTTCTTCCACACCAAACTCGCTCATCCATGTCTTTATGGACCTTGCTTTGTGCACTGGTGTGCAGTCATGTTGGAACAGGAAGGGGCCATCCCCAAACTGTTCCCACAAAGTTGGGAGCATGAAATTGTCCAAAATCTCTTGGTCTGCTGAAGCATGAAGAGTTCCTTTCACTGGAACTAAGAGGCCGAGCCCAACTCCTGAAAAACAACCCCACACCATAATCCCCCCTCCACCAAACTTTACACTTGGCACAATGCAGTCAGACAAGTACCGTTCTCCTGGCAACCGCCAAACGCAGTCTTGTCCATCGGATTGCCAGACAGAGAAGTGTGATTCATCACTCCAGAGAACACGTCTCCACTGCTCTAGAGTCCGGTGGCGATGTGCTTTACACCACTGCATTCGACGCTTTGCATTGCGCTTGGTGATGTAAGGCTTGGATGCAGCTGCTCGGCCATGGAAACCCATTCCATGAAGCTCTCTACGCACTGTTTTTGAGCTAATCTGAAGGCCACATGAAGTTTGGAGGTCTGTAGTGATTGACTCTGCAGAAAGTTGGCGACCTCTGCGCACTCTGCGCCTCAGCATCTGCTGACCCCGCTCTGTCATTTTACGTGGCCTACTACTTCATGGCTGAGTTGCTGTCATTCCCAATCTCTTCCACTTTGTTATAATACCACTGACAGTTGACTGTGGAATATTTAGTAGCGAGGAAATTTCACAACTGGACTTGTTGCACAGGTGGCATCCTATCATGGTACCATGCTGGAATTCTGTGGCGATGGAATTCTGTGGTGATGGAATTCTGTGGTGATGGAAGTGATTGGAACACCTGAATTCAATGATTTGGATGGGTGAGTAAGTACTTTTGGCAATATAATGTACATCCACCTATTTATATCAGGTTAGCCCACTCATTTAAACTGAAATTATAAGGAGAGTTTGAATGAGGTCCAATACAGGCCAGCCAATCAGAACGGAGGCTGATTACATATATTGGTCTTAAAGCCACAGTAACAAAAACAGCCTGTTTAATTCATAAAGGGATAGTGAGAGGTTGGAAACTGGTCATGTAAAAAATGGATTAAACATCATGTAAAAATGGATTATGATCGTGTTTGATTAATAAAACCACAAAAACACCATAAGTGGACCTCAGGGAAAAAAATAAAAAACAAAAAAAGTAAGAAATGGGCCCTTTAACAAAAGTTAAAAATGAAACTCCAGTAAGTTTAAACACTGCTTTACTCACTGATATGACTGCCAATCTTAACTGTGTTCGACCGCATATGATCCTAACTGTAACACTTCCTAAACTCAGATAAACTTCTAAGTTCTAAGCAATGTAGATACTAAAACGCAACGGGTGGTGCTTCCCAGTATTCATAGCATTGTTGTTGGTTTCTGTTAATAAGCTCTCGTTTTTTCTTATTCTTCATCAACTTATAAACCATCACATCATCAAAAGTGAGACATTTTTTTTTTACATTAAAGGTGTCTGTTTATAAAATAAACCACTAAATTACAGTAATCTGTAGGTGGGATTTTTACAGATTTAGTTAAATACATGTGACTACAATATCAGGAGATATTATAAGCCAACCTGTATATTAGCTGAGCCTTAACATTTACATCCGAATGTGTTTCTAAACAAACAACTTGCTCAGCAGTGGCGAGATCCAAACCACATGGACCATGCCCTCTTCAGAGGCCCTTTTCTGAGGCTGAGACAGCTCATCAATCTCCCCACACTAGTGCAGGTGAAGCGGCTCTCAGTCCGGGTCAGTCGTAATGAGGGATAAAATGAGGCGAGACATCTCCAGTCAACAGAGGAAACAGGTGGACACAGACAGAGCTGTGGTCCACTACAGTGGAGCATACAACAAACGACCCTGTGGGGCAGTGGAACGGTAGAAGATGGAGGAGCCATGGAGTAAAATGTATAAGGAAGGTTCACTACTGGAGGATGATGAAGCATCACTGCAGACCTGATATAACCTACAGCTCAAGTGTGTTGAACATAGTTAATAGGGGGCAGAGGCAATGTATGTACTATGTCTTTCTTACTGTCTGTTAAACTATTATACAATATCCTGCTAGTCAACATTATTGTTCATATCAGACAGAATTAGTATTATTACTTGAATATGTAAGTTGTGACATATCATGAGCTAGGGTTGGTCCCAGACTACAGGATAAGATTATACTTTGGAGCCCCCTTCCTGATGACAAACACCTCATTGACTTGTAACTCACTCGAGTTTAGCAGGCTCAAGTTTCTCCACTAGGGGGAGGTCTCAGTTTTATACAAAAAAGTGTAATTTCCAAATCGCATAAAAATTAAATTTTAATTATAAGGCATATCACTAAAAACACTGCCTTAAGTTTTAAGTGAGGAAAGTTAAAGTAATAACACAAAGTTTGCAAACCACCTGTAGACCACTGAAAAACAACCAAACACTCATGTGCTGTGAACATGATGATATGACTAACCGATAGCCTGGCAGACTATGTTCAGTATTCAAGCTTCAAGCCAGAAAAAGTGAATTTGCTAGTCATCCTGGCCAAAATAACAGGCCTGGATGTTCATTTACAGAAAATTATCACAATTTAAATCATTGTCGCAATACTGGTCTGAAAAATTGCAATTTGATGTTTTCCCCAAAGCGTTCAAACCTATTCCACCGTCATCATCACTACACTAAATCAATGTTAAATTAACTTATTACTAATAGATCAGCTGTCTTATTAAAACTACACAGATCAGTTACTTGCCTTAGCTATCCTCTTGGGAATGTCTCTCTCTGGACAAGTCAACTCAGTGCCCTGTCGTAGGGAGACGTTAACCAAGGGGATGAGGATGGAGCCAGAGGTATATGTGGTCTGCTCCTGCTGTAGACTCTTACTGCACACATCCTCTAAAAACACTTTCACACAGTGAGCCATCTGAGGAACCAGCTCCCGGAACGCAGCCCTCCACTCGAACTCCAGACACACTGCCTACAGACACAGATACCACACCAGAATAATCGCATTAGTAATGTAGCATGATATAAGTGTGAGTTCACAGTTACTGATTGAAATAGTACTTACATGTCTATACTACATGTAAAAATGTAGTGTGCTGCTATACTGAGCTCAAATAAAAGAGTCTTTTTAAATGATAGTCACCTTAAAGGACATGGGGTGAGGAGCAGCCTTTCAACTGCTGACCACACGATTGCAATGAGATTATACATAAGGACTCCAGGTCTAAGTCACTTTGTCTATAATAAAGATGAACGGCATTTTCTAAAAAAATTGTCCCTATCACATGGATACTGTTACATACAGTGGGGTCTGAAAAGTCTGAAACTACTGGTGAAAATGCTTCTATTTTGCATTTTTCATCACAATTTTTATCAGTAAAATAATTTGAGTGGAGTAAAGAGTTTAAAAAATTAACAAGAATTTCAGAATTTCTTAAAATCTGGTATGTCTTTCTTTAATGACAGCGTGCATTCATGCTGGCGTGGATTCCACAAGTTTGTGCAAAAGCCTCTGAACACAAGCTTCAATGAAAGGGATGAGACAAAAAAAGGCAAAGGCCTTAAAATGGTCAATTTCAGAAATTAGCTAATATTTGAATAGTGACCTAGAAATACTGCAGACTCTTGAATATTTCTTCCTCATTCAACCTGTTATAACTTTTGCTTTGAACATTTTACATACCAAAACTCCCTGATGTTTACTTCCAGGTAAAAAAAAATCCCAGATTTTCAACGTGTGCTCAGACCCCACTGTTCATGTTACAAGCAAGCTAACACTAATGTATTCAATAATGGCACTAAGTTACATGAAAGTAATACTATTATAACACCAGCTACTCAAATCTTATCCAACTACTGCCGAAGTCATGTGATGTAAAACATGTGGTGTTAGCTTGCATGTAGCATATAATAATTATCATTTATGCAATGTTCTAAATTAGCATAATCCAAAAACCAATACATACAATTTCTACTGCATAGGCTTGGGAACTTGGTTGGGTAACTACAGAAAAAAAAATGCCATTCATTTTTCCCCACAGACTTCAACATCTTAGATCCAGGGATTGGCCAAATGCCAAAGGCTAACTAGACTTACCTCTGTGCTCTGAAGCAGCAGGTCAGGCGTGGTCTTCCCATCCAATGTGGTCTTCTCCATATCATCCCTGACTTTCTTTAGGATCCCTACACAAACATGCACACAAAGATGCAAAGCAAGCTTCAGTATCTATTTATTTCACTTTATGAAATACCATGCCTGCTTTATCAAAGGAGAGACAAGAGTCGAATAGGCTCAATTCAATTAAATATGACTTTCTTACACTTCACAACAGTCCATTAAGGCCATTACACAGAGATAGAGTAAACGCTGAGCGAACCAACCCTATCATAGACACACATGGTGCTTTTGGAAAATGAGTCAATAAAGGGAAGTGCTTCTATAACCCGAGGCTGACATATTTAACTCTGGTGTCCTCTTCTATGCACCAGTGACCTAAAAATGACTGCAATGCCTCGCAGGAAAGAAGTGGGGAGGAAAAAAAAAGTGCTGCAATTATTGCAGAAAGTGAGCTTTGTGTTAGTCCAAATCGGAGGCAGTGGAGTTGATTTGAACCCCAGATAGCTACGGCCATATCTGGGGTAATCCATGGCCGGGTGAAGAGGAGGATAACTTAGTGTGTGTGTGTGTGTGTATGTGTGTGTGTGTGTGTGTGTGTGTGTGTATGTGTATGTGTATGTGTGTGTGTGTGTGTGTGTGTGTGTGTGTGTGTGTGTGTAAGTAGCAAATTAAAAGCGCATGCATCAAGACCACATTTTTCTAATCAGACGCTTTGGATGTGAGACCCCGGGCGAGGCAATTTAGCTTAACAAGAGCGAGAGGCGCGCCGGGCGGAGGGGGAGAGGAAGCAGCCGGGGTGTCACTTTTTGACCTTTAAGCTCATCTGATGAATTTCTGGTAATTAAGTCATTTGATTGCCTGAATTAATGATTTGGATAACTGCCCTTTAAAGGCTGTTTACTTCTCTGTAAATCGAGGTCTTTTCTGCATGTCTTGTTTTTTAATGTAACCTTTATAGAAATTACTACATGCACCAGTCACTTTCATGGCAAGTGGGAAAGAAAAACTCAGCTCTTAATTTTCACAGCAAGAGAGAGGGTGTCAGTGAAAGAGAGAAAGAGTGTGTACAAAAGAGGGCATGAACGGCCCTATAAGGTGTTTGTTGTCAGCCACTATTAAACCAGAAACCTGGACAACTGTAACAGTCAAAGTTTCAACAAACTCGAGCTTTATAGTCCTACCATTCTGTAAAAAGCTTTTACTAAATATTTGCCTACAGATGTTTTATACAGATATATATGAGAAAGAGCTATGCTGTGCTTTGTCTATATTTAATATAGTTCTTAACTGGTTTAGTGTATGTAAGCGATAGAACTATCTATTATGTTCTATTGCTTTTATACAATTGTTCTGCAAAATAAAAAAAGTCAAGCAAAGTAGTGCCAAATATTGCATAAAGTATGCTTTCATGTCATATTTCGTCTGCCAAAAACCTCGTTTGAATTGCAGATGGAGCCATAAAACTGTCGCAATATCAGGTTCAGCTCAACCTCTTCAGTATCTGCCAGATTAACCTCAATGCTGGTTTGTTCCAGCCATTAGGTAAATAATTTCACAGCTCATCTTGTTTGCCGAATTGTACTTGTTTCTGGCTAATTCTGCCATCACAGCTGCCGACCAAAGAGTTTGCTTAATGATAGGTTTGGAATTTGATGTAGGTGTGCTGTCATACTCTTCCTCAAATCTGATTAAATGGGTTGCACATCAAATATTATTATGTAGAAGTTATCTACATTAATGTGTTAATTTCCTGTTTTTGTATGTGGTAAAGTAGAAACTTAGCAATGGTTAGCTGCAGCGTTAAATGAGACATTACTTACTAGTTACTATATTACTAGTCTTTGTGAAAATATTTGGTGTTATCACAAATAAATGCATGGGTAGAATGCTTCTTAACCAGTTAGATTGTGCATCTGGAAGTCAAACTGATATTCCAACTATTCTAATTTTTGTATATAGTAGGGATAGTCTATTCAAACAGTTACTATACAAAATCACATGACTTTAGGCTGATACTTGTGTGCAATTGGCCATCATCAGTAAATTATAACTACATAAAAATTGGCATATCAAAACATCTTTACATTGTGTAAAACTTTTTATGGTGAATGGATCAAAAAAAATCTTCTAAATTCCAAAAATTTGTTACATGAAAATACGTTAAAAGTATATTTTTCCTTCTCATGTGAAGTCATCATTTTGTAGATCCAAATTTTTTGTTACAACAGCAGGAACATGCTATTAGATGTCGACATTTCAAGACATAAGCCACTGGCCTGTACCTCTGAGGCTGCAGGCGGACTCCCCGGCGCAGCTGAGGAAGCCCAGCTCAGTGGCCAGATCCTCCACATTGCGCTCCAGCTCCAGCAGTGTGACAGCCAGCTGGGTCAGGCACTTCAGCTGGTGGGAGGTCAGGCAGAAATTTCTCGCTCTTCGGGGAGCTTCCTGGGGAGCTGGAGTGAGGACACAATGTTCAGGTCATCATGATATGAACACTTGAATGGTGAAATGTGCCAGAAGACATTAAGGCAACATTCAACTATACTATAATTCAATACTTTACATTTATTGCTGCACAGTTGTGAGGAATTTACTATGATGCACTCAAAAGACAATGTAAAAGCAAGTAAAACAGACATCACCCATAAGATTAAACAAGGACAAAGCACTAAAACCAAAGACTGGTTGAAAGAAGGGAAGAAGGGGACTGTGGAGAGCGTATTATTTAAAGGGAACGAGCTCACCCTCAGAAGGTCACCCTTGGTAAGCTAATCAGTTAGCCCTGCAAACTCTGCAATGCAAAATGTCTTTTTGAGAAGTCTGAATATAACACACAAAAATTTGTGAGTAACTGCTTTGTGTGTCTGTAAACTTGATGTTCAACTGTCTTTTTGTTGCTGTTAACCATGTAGCTTTTAGCATGCTAACTAGCCAGCTAGCAAAGGAAAGTGATAAAATTGTATCAGCAGTCATGTAAAAAAGATGAAGTAGTTTGCATCCTAAATCCCAGCAAATCGAATATCATGTTATGAATTGGTGAATATTTTAAAGTAGTTCACTGCTGTTTTTACATTTGGAAAGGAAATTGCTTCGGGTAACACTGGGCTAATTCTGCAACACAATAACACATGTTAGCTCAATTTCTCAACCCTTTGAGGGCTCATCTAATAAACTTAATTTGACCTAATAAAGTAATGGAACAGCTCTGAAGACGGCATCAGGGGAAATGACAAGGCCAAGTGGACGAGGTCATGTTAAAAGCAGTGTTGAAACAAGCAGCAGGTGTCAACAGGATCCATTGTATCCAATGACTCAAACCACCTGCAGAGGTAATCAGGGATGCCACAAAACATTTGTATTGTGAATGTTAAAGTGCCCTGATACGTCCCCGACAAAAACAAAAGACCACCTTCATCAACTGCGTCATCATATCCGAGATGAAAGTGGTGGCGTCTCTTCTTTCTTCGACTCCACTCCCACGTATTCTCAGATTACCTAAGCAAACCATGTGTCTAAACATGTGAAACAGCCCTTATAAGTACACACAGAAGGACTTGCATGACGTTTCTGTCAGTCAGTGAGAGACTGATGTAGTAAATATGTGCTTCCTTTCGCTAGTCATGAAATCCAGTGATAAGCAACTGGAGATGCAGTCTACACCCATGGAAATGCCATGTGCCAGAGACATTCCTGGGCACCAAATACTCTTAGAGTGCACTAATACAAAATTCAATACATTTGTATGTAAAATCTTGAGACAATGCACCTAACATATTATCTGTTGAACATATTGATGTTTATTGAAGAATCTGAGAAACATACCTCTCGAAACATTCCAAAGCCTACCTAACAGCAGATACCTAACCCCTTAAACTCTAAGAGACATTTTGGTGGGTCCAGAGTTCAATTCTATTATCATAACTTCATACTTTACAAATTAGATTCCTGAGGATTACTCAATAATTCACAGTAGATACAGAGTAATGCATAGTGATTGCAGGATAATAAGTTGGGGTGTGATGATATACATGTACATGTTTTATTTTTTGATATTTTAAAGGTTTAAATCGTACTCATTGTACAAAACCTTAATTATATAACATACACTGTTTGGTACTGCACTGCACAAAATCCAAATAAATAGGACTAATTCTGCTCACTTTGTAATGAAACATGCTGTTGGTCAGTGTCCTTTAAGTGCGGACAATATCCACAATATGCTCAGACAAGCATACTGCTTACCATGATGACAACATTTATCAAAATACTGATAAAATATTGCCATATTGACCATCTCTAGTAGCATGCCCTTGCACAAACCAATGATCATAAAAAACAGTGCAACTGAGATATAAACAATAACTCATTTAAAACCTTATATAAACCCCTCTTTTCAAAACTGAAATAAGAACATCAAAGAGAAATGTTAAAACACATGCCAAGTATGATACTGAGCATGAACTATAACTCATAAGATATGTAAGTTACTTTTCGATTTTTTTCAGATTTTATGGTTTACACAAAAGACAGCAAATAAGACCCTTGTAAGAAAGGCTGTAATGATAATACAGTTTTAAATTTCGAAACAAATGAAAATTGTACACAATTGAAATTGTAAGACCCTTCCTAGTAAATTTAATAAGTGAATAATAAGCCTAGAGTTTAAGTTCTAGCGACTCTGCCACAGTTTCTTCAAAGTTGCTAGGTCGTCACCAGGCACACGAACACGCCAGACGCCCGCGACCTCAACTGCCTCCACTCCATCAATCCCTGTAAAAGTTCTCGCTCAGAAAAGCTCGCTCGAACGTCGCAAACGAGCACAAACTTTTTCTCGGCTCACCCGTCCATGACCCCCGTCTCAAATATGGCTTTCCCATTTCTGAAGCTGCCAAAGCCATCACCCGGGGGATGTTCCGCATTAGGGCAGAAGAATGGGCCGCCGAGGAGAGCGCTGCTGTATTCTCCGACACTCCGACAAATACTTTTTTGTATGTGCTCTTAAATGAGTTCCTCCGACAGAAAAGGCATTGGGGAGTGGATCAGGAAGGCATTAACAGAAGCTGTGAAAAGCTTGAGGATGATTGAGTATGGTGGGGATGGAGGGATGGAGAGGGTGAAAAAAAGAAAGAAAGAAGACCCAATAATTGCAACATTATTGCCTCTGGATCCTAATGTAATTTTGTCACATTGTTAGAACAAATCTGACAATATGACAACATATTTATGCCCTCGTTTCCTCCAGCTTAATCAGGCAAAGTGGAGGGGACTATAAATATCTTTATTTGTGCCCCCCCCCACCCTTGCTTTTTTCGATCAGCTCCCATTAGCACATGGCAGTCTGGGAGGATGATTATCCTGATGCAGATGCAGAAGTTGAACCCAAGAGCTGGCTAGTGGGCACCTCAAAATAAAATCATGTGTATGTATGTGTATGTTTGTGTGTGTGTGTGTTTGTGTGTGTGTGTGTGTGTGTGTGTGTGATCATCTGAGCTCTCCAGCGCTTCATTAATGGGTTCCACAGGGACCTGGAGAAGCCGTGGAGCATTGCTTGGAAAATGGCTGCATGAATGCATGGAGAGATGCTCCAGCAGCACCATGAGCTGCAATATGAGCTCCATATAAACAACAGCAGAGCCTCTTATACTATTATGGAAACTGCCATACATATTGCATTACACAACGAATGTGTATATACTTGTATAGCAGTGCTTGTAGCAAGGGTGCAAACGACAGGAACCACCCCCAACACCCCGGGCAACAGAATGATAAAAATGAATGAAAATGTTAAATGACGACATATCACAGAAAAAAATTTTTTTTTATTTTTTTAACAAGGCGTTTTATGAGCCATGTAAACACTACTAAAACAGCTTGGTTTAAAGTCACTGTTTTTGTGAAGTCACAAAACTTACATATATCCACTATATATGTAATATATATTAGCGTTATAGGGAGTAATGTAGCCTGGGCTGCTTTTCGAATGAGGAGATACAGGACAGCCAATCAGAACAAAGCTCATTTACATATGTCAGACTTAAAAGCACAGTGACAAAAACAGGGATGAAAAGGTTGGACAGTTTGAAAATAGCTAGGTAACGTTAAGACTGTTTTTCACATAAAAACCCACGCAAATTTCATAAGGGGACCCCAGATGAAGAAAAAAAGAATGACAAGACAATGTAGGAGCCCTTTAATGGTAAACACTAAAACTGGCCATCTCAGAAAGACATATGCACCACAAATCCGAACACTCCTACAGAGGGCTAAACAATGTCTTAACCCCTTAAATGGCCAGAGCCCACCAGCGCCATTACACACTTCTATAACCTGAATAGCTCTGCGAGTTTGCACTGAAGTCACTGTAGTTACTGAATAATAAGTCTTAGTATGTAATAAGCCTGGGATTTTAAGGGGTTAAAAATATGACTGTAATGGAATATGATAGATGGTCCCCACCTCCTCACGCAAAAGGAAATAAAGATAAAAGGTTGGGGAGTTGGGGTTATTGAAATGTATGAATGGTAAAGTATTTTTTAAAGACTTTTATGTATTATGTAAACATTGCTAAACTTTCATAATGTATAATCTATTCCTAAACCAAACCATCAATCCACAAATGTTGTTAAAACAGCTTGTTTGGAAGTCACTGTTTTTGTGATATGACAAAAAGCAAGCAATTAACATGTATGTAGAGCCCACAGCGGCTTCTCTGAGCCTGGCAAGAACGTTAAAACACTGAAGTGAGCTTCTTATTCACCAGCTTCTTGTTTGAATTTTCTCATTCCACCTTAAATGATGCAGGAGTTACACCTCAGAATGTTGTTTTACATCCATAAGTCATTTGTCTCATATGTGTGTCTCTTATTGTGGAGCTTTAATCTACAATGTTGCTGGAATTTAGCAAATATTGCAAGCCGTGCACACCATCAGTTTTAGCTGAGAAGCTGCGAAGTCTCTTGGCTTGTAGCCAGAGACTGCAATGTTGCCTAAAGCAGCTGGCTGAGTAAGGAACGCTACTCATGGCTAGCTGGCTAGTCTAAATGCTAGGCTAATGGTTAACAACTAACCCCAAGAGACTGGCTTTTCCTTCCACTCTCTTTCCTCCCCAAAATTTTCAATGCACCTAAAAAAAAATAATAAATCAACTGCTTGTAAGACTCCAGTTCATCGAAGTACTCGCCTGCCTTATATTGCTTAGCTAGGATTCTTGTACACTCACTGTGGGGGAAAAACAGTGGACCTTTCAAATGTCACTGTATAACTGACACTCTTCTATTCAACAATACTGCAATGTGACCGCAGTCACAGCTAACAACATATTATACCTACACAACACTAACATCTACATGAAGCATTCAATAAGCTTCCTGTATAACACATAGGTCTTGCTAACACAGCAAGATATTTAAAAAGTAACACTAACATAAACAGAGCCACTAACTTCAAAAGGTTT